TCTAAGAGGCCTGAACTTTCCCTAATTCTAGCTGTCTCACTAGGACAGCGCACTTTGCTCTGCAGCCGGTGTCAACGTCAGCTTCTTACTGAGAAGCACCTGTCCACTGGCTGTGGGGTTTGACTGTTTTTTTTTTATTATTCATATGTGCATACAATGTTTGGGTCATTTCTCCCCCCTTCCCACCCCCCTTACCCCCCATCCCCTCGCTACCCGTGGGGTTTGACTCTTCACCTGATTCACACACTTGATTATGTTCCCAAAGCATTCCGATACCTCCTGAAGACAAAATAAAAAAGCAAGCATTTTTTATTTTAGTTAATGTAATAATAAAAATTTAGTGGTATTTCCTTGCTACGTAGACTATTGAGAAATGGGAACATTTCCAAAATTCTTCCATGGCAGAGAAAGCTCCTTTTGCATACCACATTGATAAAAATGGGACAGTGCCCAGGGACCTTGCCAGCCTCCTACAGAGACAGGTGTCCCCCTCTGAAGACATTATGCTGGCAGCATTTGTGTGGTCACACGCTGGGGTCATCTGTGACAGGTGAGATTCTACAAGTGTCGGTCTTCCTGAGACCCTCCATTCACCACTGGCATTCACTTCCTGTGGACTGGCTACTTCCTGTAGCTCCTGTGTGGCTCTGCGGTGGCCGCCACCAAGGCTCCCCCACCCAGGGCAGGAGGTGGGAGGGAGAGATGAGCACGGGAGGAGGCCACAGGGCATCCACTGGTGGAAAGGATGGTATTAACTCCCAGTGTAGCGGGCAGGCCTCCTTGGGACAGCGACTGAGGCCCCGGCTACTACAGGGGGAGGACCAGGAGCCTAGGTGGAAGGTTTCATGCTGGTCCCTGTGCGGGCCATAAGCACAGTGACCCAGCTCAGGACCTGAAGAGCTCAGCATGCAGCCTGCCCTGAAGACCAACCCAGGCTGGAAAAGCACCCCTCAGGCTGGGTGGTGCTGCAAGAACCATGGCTCCCAGAAGGCTCTGTCGGCCGGGCAGAGGGGTGCCCAGCCTCAGCCTGGAAAAGCTGCTTAAACTGCTTTTGCTGAAAAGCATGGACTTGTTACTTTGGCCCGTGAATTAAGTAAAAACAGGAGAAAAGCCTGGCATCTCTGTCCCCATTTTGCACCTGAGTCATTCTCTTCCCCGGCCGCCTTGGAATCAAGAAAGGACAGGAATGATCGATAACATCTTTATGACAAGGGACTGAAACTTCCCCTAAGGAACAGCAGAGCCCAGCTGAGGACAGGCACTGTAAAATGAGGAGGCTGCATCCTGGAGCAGGAGTAGTCACGTCTTAGGAACCAGATGGCTCCCCTCAAGTGACGACTGGAACCCTCCGAGAACCAGAACTGAGGTGATGACCATCAGGCCACACCTGACACTGGGACTGTCTATGCATGCCTTTTGTCTCCTGCCCTGATTCTCTATTTAAGACTAAAGGTCTGTACTCCAAAGACGGCGGGCTGCTGAGTGCTTACTCTGTCTGCTCTTCCCACGGTGTCCCGGGCTGCGTAATAAATCTTTCTCTGCCCTTCACCATGCTTCTTTGTCTAGTATTAGGGGTGGATGGCTGGACCTGGCATGTGGAAGCCCGGGAGTTTGAGCCTGGAGGGTCTGAAACTGTTTTCATCCCTCCGTTCCTTGGACTTCCCAAAGCCACTGTCCCTCACTTTGCAGGTATTCCCTAAACAACATGCAAGGGACCAATGAGAATCCGTGCGTGAAGGAGCAGGGGCTGTTAGGATGTACTCAAGACTGAGGGGGTCTCAGGCCCCTCCTCATTTTCAGTGCTGTCCTCATGTTACTGAAGCCAGGTTCAAAGTGGCTTCAGCACCAAGTCGGGGAGCCAGAGCCCACAAAGGACACGTGTCCCAGGACACATGCCCCTCTTCTCGCCCCACAGACCTGTGCTTGTGGAATGCAAGCCCAGACTGCTGTGGGGCCACCTGTGGATTGTGTTGCTGCAGCGGTCAGCATGCTGGGTGCGGGGGGGGGGCAGACCTTGGCCTCGTGCCTGTGTCCTGGGAGTCCCTCATCCCCAGCTTGTCTCCCCTCGAGGCCTGACTGCCATGGGCAGCCTGGGTGCTGTCAGCTCCCCTGAGGAAGGGGGTCTACAGCCAGAGGTGCCTGCTCAGGTCCCACATCTGCAGGATTTGACAAGAGAACGTCCTCAACTTTCCCCAATGGCAGCACCTACAGCTTTACTCAAAAAAGATCTCTGGCAGGTGACAGGACACCTGGAGAGCCAGCTCCCTGCCCATCCTGGGGTGCGCTTGCAGGGGGGCAGTTGCAGGGGAGGCTCACCCTCACCCCACTTAAGTGGCCAGGAGCAGCAAGCACCTTTGAGCTGGAGGGTCCCCGAGATGTGTGAGGCACCTCTGAGCCTGCACGCTCCCCCTCCTCTTTCCAGACGCACATAGCCCTAGTGCTCCTCTTGCTGCCAAGGAGGAGGTGGCCTCAGGGAACAAGGCCTCAGGCTCATGCGTCAAAAGCACAAAGCCACTGGTGGCCAGAACAGCTGGAAAGGGCATGCAGTGTGGTTCTGTGGGCTTGCAGCCCACTGCCCACCACGCCTCTCATGGTGGAGAACCGACATACCAGGAGCGGCTCCGTCTCCATGGTCTTCAGGACCAGAAGGTCCAAGCTCCACCCAGGGAGCCAGGGCCTGACCTGGCTCCTGGGGGAGTCTGTTCTGAAGTTGCTGGCCCAGGAGGGATCAAGCACCTGGCTGAGGCACAGGGAGGCTGTTTGACAGCTGTTTGTGTCCCAGTGACACAAGAGCCTAGTGTGGGACCTGAGGCATCTGCATTAGGCCGTCCAGTTGCACAGAGCCTAGACCAGGAGGAGGGGACGCAAGGGGCGGGAGGGAGGGAGGGAAGAAGTGATGGACAGTAAGGAGCCCTGAGTGGATAAAGATTATGTACCCCAGGGGGCACTCTGGAGCTCCTTACACAGCACCCAAAATCCACCTGGATAGGGAATGGTGAACAGAGAGCTAACCGCTCAAGAGGACAGGGTTAGGGAGCCCGGAGTTTGCAGAACAGTGAAAGCAGAATGGGGGTGGGGGCGGGGAACAGGCTGGGGTCTTGGGTATGAGGAATGCAGGGTGGAGATGGCCAGTGACACTGAGCTGTCACACTGGGGCCTTGTACCCTGGCCACAGAGAGACCCCAGAGGCTCAAGCAACAGAAGAGAGGTAAGGAGCCCACCCCGCACATCTTCAGTGAGGTCGATGGTTCTGACCCTCACAGTGCCCGGTCCACTGCTACCCCAGAGAGAAACACGCATCGAGAGTCCATTGTCTGGTTTCTGTCAGAAAATGTGCGTTCATGAGAGTTCGTGTGCGTATGAAGAATCGGAGGCAGGTTTTTCTTTATTGTAAGCAGGCTCAGGTCTCCTCCTTAGACGATCCCCAGAAGAGTCTAAAGTAATTATCAAGTGGCACTTCACCTACAGAGATGGAAATTAAAAACGGAGTACTAAATAATCAGAGGTGTTTGATTTGGTTTAATCACAATGAACTTCTCAAAGCAGGTTAATGGATCATCAGTGAGACATTACTGGTTGGAGAATGATTTATGTTAAATGTACTTACAATAGTTGATAAATTAAAAATAAATTCCAGTATTTGATGATAAAGGCTGTAGACATCATTCATGTTAAACACATTTGTGAAGATTCTCTCTGGTTACATTAATAGACATTTTAAACGCTACTGCAGACACACATTTTAAGTCAGACAATATATGCATATTAAAATTCTGTATATCTTGATAAGGTAAAAAATAAAGCTATATAAATTGATCTTTATATTTTTTCTGCAAAAGTAGAATCACTTTCAGAATACTTGCAGCATTATCTTCATTAAAGCTTTATTTATCGACACAGTACCAGAAGGATCCCGCTCCTGTTCACCCACTGTCTAGCTTAAATAAAAAGATTGCACTCATCAACAGATACCTTCCCTGTTTTTGCAGTTACAAACGGGTAACTTCCAGAAGAAATGCAGACTACAAGGACCTGCTGTTATGCTACATTCCCAATAAATAATAGGAAGTTAAAATAAAAGTGGTTGAGTTAGCTCAGCACCAGTCAGTGTGGAACACATGAGCTGGAAGTTCAAATGCCCAGGCTGGAACTTTCTCCAGATTGCATGGGACATCTGGCTGAGGCTCAGAGACTCAGAGCAGCTGTGACAGCCCACAAGACATTCTGCAGTTGAAGCAGCAAAATGCTCAGTGAACAACTAAAAGTGATTCCGTTACACACGGTGCCGGGCTACACTCCTCCTCCATCTCAGCCTCCAGCGCCTGCTCTGGCCAGGCCCTCCCTGGGCAGGGCCCTTTGGTCTGCTGTGCTCAGGAATGGGTCGTTGGAGTTTGGGGACAAGGATGCCTTTTCCCAGCTGGCAAGTGGCAGGGGACCGGCCCCTGCTCCCAGAGGCATACGGCCACGTGTGCAGTTTCGGTGGTCCTGAGCCTGCTTGCTGGCCACCTGGGCTGGGGACTGAGTGAGGGGAGGTTCTGGCTGGGGAGCTGCATTTCCCTGGGAGCGGGGAGAGAGCTCAAGTCCAGGAGCTGTGGTGTGGCTCATGGAGCCTGCGAGCGAGTGCAGCCCTTAGGGAGAAGGCAGGCTGCACAGGACGTGTGCAGGTGTGTTTGAGGGGTGTGTGCACGTGTGAACCCATCTGTACAGATCACACATGTGCACAGCTATGATTCAACATGGACCTAAGTAAGAGAACACAAACGTGGCCAGGCCCCCTCGTGCACATGTGAAGGGATGAAGTGTGAATTAGGAACTGTGTATTCTCAGCAGAACAGGAAATCACAAGTTGATAGTTTACTGATATGTGCAATGGCAAATAATCTTCAAAATGAAGAAAAATGCTTACAGTTGACGTTGCTTGCTCTTAAGTCAGTTTAAGGTAAATAAGTTCCCGTTCCCGTGAGGTGGAAAGCTGTCCTCTTATCTGAAGTATCATTTCATTGGGGTTCTTCCTTCCCTTTTTTTTTTTTTTTAAATTTCGTGCCCCTTGTCTGTTTCAAATTATTAGGCATTTATTTAATAATTTCTCAACCAAGTTCCTAAATGTCCGAGTTTGGTGCCTTCATGCTGAGACTTGAGGTCTCAGCAGTAAAGATGTCCTGTCCCCACCCAGGGCGGGATCGGGGGTGCTGAGCCCTCGAGCAAGAATCTTCTGTTTTTAAGGCTGCAGGAAATTAAAAAACACACGAAATCGCAAAGGACTGCGACGAAAAGCAGAGAAAATGTGCTCTTAACGTGCCCTTCTGCCGATCAGACTCCAGAAATAGCAAGACACAGAGAGAAAAGTCACATTCATCAGAGAGCCAACATTCAGCCAAACTCTCGCCAGAATTTAAATGTGAAGTGGTCAACTTTTCATCAACTTAAAAAATGAAAGCTTTAAAAACATACTTTAAAAATTAGAAGATGCATTAGCAAATGAATAAGAAATATAAACAGCTATGAAAATACTTCAGTGCAAAGGCAATTTGAAGATTCCTAAAAAAATACGTTACAAATAATTTGTTAACTAAACATACAGAGAATCTGTCCCCATACAGGTGTTAAAATCGAACCCACTTTGGGTTCTTAGAAGGGGCTGTAAAAATGCACACACCATTGTTTGTGGGGTTAGTGTGGACCGGGGCGCCAAGCACAAGCTGCCTGCCACATGTGGAGGAGGTGACACCACCTGACAATGACAGCGAGGTGGTGGGCGCTGAGGGGTGGCCGGAGCCGAGGAGCCCACCCTCAGCTCAGGGCTGCGTGGTCTTCTCTGTCTGTGCTCGGCCAAGCGCCATTACCCTCATCTTTGGTGTGGTGCTGTTTCTCCCCTCGCTCACCCCACCTCCGCGCTCCGTTCTTGCTGTCAAATAAGTACTTCACAGGTGAGATCGCATACGAGCAAACTGCAAATTCCGCACTTCAGCACATCTGCTCTCAAGGACTTGGAGACAGACCTGCATCCCTTCCCACTCACCCCGGCCCATGGCATAAGCCTGCAGAGTGCTGGCTTTTCCTCCAGCCACGGGTTGGATCTTTCTGAAAGGCCTCCGTGTTCATGTCTGAGGCTTCAGCCTCACACTGAACGTCTTCTGTGGGTTAGGAACAGTAAGGCTACGCCAGATACTCTTCTAGAAACAGAAACATGGGTAGTGACAGGGACTTTGCAGTCCAGCAGCCTCCTGACTGTCCACCCACCCCACATAAAACCCTGCAAGGAACGCTCAGAAAAGGAGACGCCTATTAGGCTGTGCAGTGTGGGAGGTGGGATGAGCTGTTGTTGGGACCAGCGGACCAACGTCAGCCCGAGGTAGGCTTCAGAGGATGGAGCCACCCTTGGTAAGGACAAGATTGGCCCTGGGTGCCCCAAACCACTACCTTGTCCTGTCAGCCACGTAACAAAGTTTCCCAATCAGGTAAGCTGACCACGTCACCTCAATGTGTGGCAGTAGACTATATAACACTCCTGAGAGCCTTGGCCAACAGTGTGGACCAGTCCACATGTGACAGTGTCCTCCTCTTCCTCCACAGGGAAGCCGGTGATGGGATGGGGACATGGACCCTGTTACACAGGGTCACCGCAGCTCAGCATTGCGACGTGGATGGTGAATACGATCAGAGCGAGGTCCAAGGGACAGACACAGCCGTCTAGTGTCTGATGTGGTCACTTCCCAAACAAGAAGTGTAGAGGGTTTATGGGGAAAACAGATGGCCTGGAGCAGCAGGACGCGACAGTGTGGCCAAGTGCCGGACAGTCACTGGATGCACAAAGCTGCAGAACAGCGGACGGCTGTTCTCTTCAGGGGACAGCAGACAGTGACACTAACGTGATGGTGGATGCCCAGGGCTGGGCAGAGGGCCAGTCTTGCAGCTGAAGTGCACAAGATGGGACCAGGCAAAATGTCCTTTTTGACAGTCCAGCTGGATGCGCAGCCACAGGTCCCAGGACAAGTGACAACTGTCACACAGACTGCAGTGTGCCGCACCTGGGCAAGTGACCTGTGCCCCTCACCTCTCCTCCTTGGGGATGGCGCGGAGCACACGTACACACAGGCCCTTAGGTGCTGGTGTTGGGGACCGTCCGTCCATCACACGGGGTTTTCAGACTGGACCCCCAGCAGCTGAGCCTTGTGCTGGACCTGCAGCAGTGGTGAGAGAGGCCGGGGAGGGTGGGGGCACCCTGTGCTCCTCACTCCTCCAGAGCAGGCATGCTGCCTTCTGAAGGGGGAGCCGCGTGGGACGGTCAGGAGTCCAGGGCTCTGAGAGCCCAGGCTTTGCAAAGAGGCAAGAGGGGTGAATTCTGAGACCCGGGTCCAAAGCTGCAGGTTCTGCTAGAAAAAAAAGACACGGTCAGTCTCATGGAGCCTCCTGGGAGCCTCCTAATACTGACCCGAGTCACCCCCAGGAGCCCGATGTTCTAACCACCGTCCTCCCTCACGAGCACTCGCCTGTCTCAAGTTATGGCCTTCACCTGAGGGACAGGGGCCACCCACAGAGGCTATGTGACTCCCCACAACTAGGAATGGATGCCTCTGCTTTCGTACATGGCCCGCCATGTCCCAGCTAAGAGCAAAGGGGGTGGGGACATTGGCAACTAGGGTTGTAGACACACAAGGTATCCTCCCCATAACCATCGCCAAGGGTGGTAATAGCTCAAAAGCCTCAGAGATCTCTGAACGCACTGCCCCGAAAAGGACCGGGCTCACCTGCCTGGACCAGTGCTGACCACATCCACCCTGCATGCTGTCAGCCTGTTACCTGATAGGAATGGCCTGTGTTGCTTCTTGAGACAGCCCACTGTGGCCACCACAGGCACACACAGCATCAGAAAGCCAGCTGGCAGGAGGCTGAACAGCACAGGCTGCTAAAGTGGGTGACCATCCCCGAGAACCACTAGATGGCGAATGCCTGGCACACCTGTGAGTGACACCAGGTCAGGAACGCCCTGGGTCTGTTGGAGCACACAAGTTCAGCAGGACAATGGCCAGCCCCACGTCCAGGGCAATTGAGTAAGATTCTGTTTTGACTTTGAGGTGGGCTGTGTCCTGCCAGTTGACCCACTGGCCATCATGCCTGTGTGTGTGCACGTCTGCTATGTGGTTGGCTCACTGTCAGGTGTGTCACTTACCTGGGACAGAAAGTGTGTGTACATGTGCAAAAATGGGGTGTTACGTTTTCATTATGAACCTCTGTTATTAAAAAAAAAAAAAAAAAAAGAGGCACAGCACAGCAAAACTTTGGAGGAAAAACAGTCTGAAAGAGTCACAGCACACCGGCCACGTTCCCAGCGGGCTTTGGCCGTTCCGTTACCTAGCGTTGGGCTAATCGTGCCTCAGCCGTGGTATGAAGTCCTTCAGCAGTGGCCTGTTGCTGCTTGGCATGGCACCAACCGATGCTCTGTGTTGAATACTCTTCTGCAAGACGAGGAAAGACACTGAGATGCTGGCCTGCAGCGGGGAGGTGGTGGAGGCCAGTGGCCTGCACCCCAGGTGCTGTGGCCTGTGGCTACGTTCACACCAACCTGCACTGTCCCCACGTTCTCGGCCACGGCAGGCTCTATAAAGCCTTGCTTGCAGGTGTCTGCACGTAGCTGTCACAGAGCCACTAGAGTGGCCAGAGAGGACTCCCGGGGCTGCCTATCGGCAAGGGGGTGCCGAGCCACTCCTGGGGGAACAGATGGCTCTCTGAACAGGGCTCAGGTCAGAAAACTGCACAAGCAGCAGAGCCGGCAAAAACATCGAAGGACAGGTTGTGGCACCCACGGGAGAGGCAGATGGTCAGGATCTGCCAGCTGGAGGCCCCAACAGGTCCCCACTCCCAATGTAGCTGTCACCCTAGCGCATGGTTCCTGGGCAGAGCTGGAGTCTCAGAGAGCTGCCAGTGTGCCAAGGAGTGGATTCTGCCAATCCTGCCCTGCAGACAGGGCATCCGGCTCAGACGTGTGTCCTGAAAGCTGGCAGCTTGGGGCCTGGGCCCAGGGTGGCATCTGAACACAGGTTTTCCAGCCCTGTCTTACCAGTTCCTCAGTAAGGAGGAGTGAAGAAGCTTTAGGAGCTGAAGAAGTACAGGTTGGAATCAGAGAAGTGCAGCTTTGAACTGACGAATGACAGGGAGCTGGCGGCAGAGCTGCTATCCTTCATGCCGAGTGGGGCAGCGTAAGCTGCGTGAGTCAGTGGCAGAGGACAGACAGAAGCAAAGGCCATGTACACTGTGATCTGTGATGTACACAGTTGCAGAGACAGCATGCACACCTGGTGTCTGTGACGCTTTCTGTTAAGTAGGAACAGGGCAAAAGGAAACCCCATCCATCCATCCATCCGTCCATCCGTCCATCTGTGGGAGGTAAAGTCCACCCGACTGAGGGTTTGTGCATGTTTATTCCTCCAAAGTTTTGTGGGACCACAGGGCTTTAGAGCAACAGAGCGTCCACTGTGTGTGCCTGGAGTGGGTGGTGGCTGAGCGTCTGCAGGTGTGGTACCCTCTGTCCCATGGACAAGGAACTGCATGCGGCCTCCCAGGCAGCAGGGACCAGCTTCTGCACATGCACAGAAGCAACTTAATGCTCATGAAGCCAAACATTTGTGTCCAGCCTGAGTTGTGTTTATCAGTGTTCCTGATAACCTCGTCTGAAATGTTTCAAGAATGTAAACGACGGGTAAAATGATGTCATTTATTCTAACAAATTCTGATGGTTAGGAAAATTTTGATTGCAATTAATGACTTGCTCTTCAAAACATATCATCTTGTTAGTTTAAAAAAAAACACCAGTGTTTAAGAGGTACAGAGCTTAGGGTGGTGGCTCATACCTGTAGTTCAGCTGCTCAGGAGGCAGAGATTAGGAGGATTGTGGTTTGAGGTCAGCCTGGGCAAAAAGTTAGCAAGCTGAGTGTGTAGTGGTACACGCCTGTCAGCCTAGCTATGCGGGAAGCATGAACGGGAGGATTGCAATCCAGGCTGCCCAGGGCTGAAACAAAAGACCCTGTTTCAAAAACAACTAAAGCAAAAAGGGCTGGGCATGTGGTTCAAGTGGCAGAGCACCTGCCTGGCAAGTGCAAGGCCTGAGTTCAAAGTCTTATACTGCCAAAAAAATACAAATAAAGATACAGAAGATGAACTGTCATTTAAAGGAAAAAAAAAAAACAGCCTTTTTCTTGCTTTAGGCTTTTCCTACCACATGAGCTGCAGTGGCAAAGCAGTAATACCAAGCAGGCTCCTCCCAGTGTCATTGAACTTGGGTGTGAAACAGCTGAGTAGCGACAGCACTGTGCTCTGGAGGGGCAGGCATGGCCACGAGCAGCTGCCCTAGACAGGGGCTGACGGTCAGGGAAAGCACCTGAGAAGGGTTTTCTGAGCCGTCGGGTCTCTTTAAACACAGTGGGAAGGGAGTCAGGTATGTGTGTAGAACAAACCACCTCCTCCTGGCCTTCCAGGGTTCCCCCTCCCTGAGAAGGAGACTCACAGGGCTGCACCGAAGCTGCCGTGCTCAGGGCTATGATTCTTGTGACGGTGTATGGTTGTGTTTAGGGTGGGCCCGGCCCGAGGCAGCTGTCGTCCAGCCCTTGGATGGCATGCAACTGTGAGTGATGTGTCGTCCCCGTTTCCTGGCCTGGTAATTACAATGAATGGCAACCCTAAAGTGCACTGGAGACTTTGGCACTAAGTTCTCCCCCTGTGGCCCATGGCCACCGTCCCAAACATACGAAAGGCAGAGAAGGTCACCTGTTGGTCAGAAACTGAGACCACTGGCGGTCTGTGAAAGCATAAAGACGGTGGGCTGCTCGACAGAAAGGCACTGGTTCCTGGCCTGGGGCCGCAGTTGGAGCCCATGCACGCACGCACGGGAGCGTTTAAGTGAATAGTGGTTATTTAGGAAAAGCAGCAGAGGACAAAGGAGATGAGGAGGAAAGAGACAAGAGAGGTGAGTCGGTTACAGGCAAACACATCCTAGCGCACGTTAACTCCATCGCCCTGAGCAGACAGACCTGCGACCAGGGCCCGGGGGCTTCCTCGTCCCCACCTGTGATGCCGCTGGCTCCTCCCAGCTTTGTGCCTCCTGGGCTGCGGGTCATGGCCGCAAAGCACACCAGCAGCAATGTGGACTCCCCCTGCTAACGGAGGAGCAAGGAGATCCTTCCCAGCATCCCCATGCCTCAGAAGGACACCCACCCCCAGAAGATATTCGCAAGTGGGGTCTGTGGTCAGAACCTGGGGTGCACTTGGCTGCCCTCCCTCTGTGCAGGTCACATACATCGTCACAGCAGAGCTTGGGGATCCTGGGGGCATGGGGAAGGGCTGTGATGCCTGCAGAGCTGCACTCTCCCGGCTCAGGTGTGTCCATGCACCTCATGACCACCCACACCTGCGCCGGTGCTGCACAGAACATGCTGTTGTGAAAGCTGAGTCGCATGGCTGTGGCTGTGACAGGGGACTCCGTGGACATCCCAAGCTGCATTGCCTTCTCAGGGTCAGGCCTGTACTGGCTGCCTCCCCATGCACGGTGTCGTGAACATGGGTGCCACCTGCATCCCTGGACATGGTGCTGTTGGGGGCCCATGTCCATCCTGGAGTTGCACTGCTGAAGAGCCAAGGCACTCAGGTTCCCATTTAGAAAGGAGCTGTTGGATGGCTCCTTCCGGGTCCCAGACAGGCAGGGCTGCTGGCTGGGGACAATGATGTTCCCACGGAAGCCAGGGCAGTTGAACACTGACCACAGCGTCACTGCTTTCCAAGGGGCTGGGAGGCAGGTGGCTCTGAGTCCTAAGCCCAGCCCTGCATGGCTCTGGTGGGAGGGTGGTAACTGTCATGCAGGGAGTGTCCACTGCTGTTGAGTAGAGCTCTGTGCTCATGAGTCCTGCCAACTGTGGCAGGAGGCATGAAGCAGGGATGGCTGGAGCAGGCGGCACTGGTGAGCACAAACTTCTAGCGAAGTTTGCAATTCAAGATCCCACTTAAACGTGGGACCAGTGGCAGGGGGGCCGTGCCACCCCAAGGCAGGGCTACCTGTTTTTCCAACCCAAACATGGCCAGCTGGCACCACCTGTAGATTGGAGCTCCATGAATCTGAATGCGAGGAGTGGTCATGAGTTTCCATCTCACTCCATTACTGGCCACCCTCCCATTCATGGGAGCTGATGTGGACTCTGTCCTCAGCCTCCCTTTGGGGGGTCTCGTGCTTCCAAGGGCACAAAAATCACAAGTCATGGGGAGCTTGCTGGAAGTGCATATACCAGGGCTCCACTTCATCTAAAGACTGGAAACTCTGGGGGGTGACCTTGACCTCCCAGGGATATGACCCAGGCAGGCTACATCTGAAAACTCCACCATCTGCCCTGGTGACAGGGTCCTAGTGAGACAGTGGGAGGGAGGTAAAGGGCCCCTCAGAGGAGAGACCAGAGCTAGGACTGCCGCCCATAGGGGTCAGGGGCGAGTCCTCCACCCATGCAGTGCTCTGGGACAGTGGCTATATGTGTCACTTCCCCTCTGCACCCACATCAGCTTGGCGGCCAGTTTGGGAATGCAGAAAACAAGCAGCCGTACCAACACCCAGTGTTTCTTCATGGAAATGCAAACACCCAAGCCAAATTCACCATCCTCAAAAATGATTTAACTTGCACAGTGATGATTAATTCAAATTTTTTGTGAATGTGCAGAAAAGTTAATCTTCTGCATTAATCGTTGTTCTCTGATTCTTTCTCTCCTTTCAGGTGATGTTTAGTCTAAACATCAAATTAAGCAGTATCTTGAATTCTGCTTAATGTTTAAAATCATGCATCACTAAGAGATGTGGACTGGGATCAGAGTTTTGTGACACCCAAGCCTCTCATGCCACCTTCTCAGTTATTATTTATCAATTGAAGACTGGGAGACTAAGGTGCACTTGCCCAGCCAGGCAGGGCTCCGTACCTGGGTTTTCTCTGTTGCCGTGGGCCACAGCTGCCTGCACAGAACCTTCTTGAGCACGTCCGGGAGGAGGCTGACCGTGATGAGCAGGATGATGCCCAGCCAGGCAGGCCCACTGGACAGCATGTGGATGAACACATAGTACATCCTTTGGTAGCTGAGGAATGGCCTGCAGTGAGGGAGAGGCCGTGCAGGTTAGACCTCTTCAACATGGACGCTGACATCTGATTATCACTCCCCAAATCCTCACGAAGAGGCTATCTGTGCTGAGGATTGTCACCCTTGTCACTGACCATCACTAGGCAAGCCACCTCGCCTGCCTGTTCTGATTCTGTCATGGGAAAAATGGGATGGTGACCTCCTTGGTAATGCTGGAATCTTATAAGAAAGGGAAAGGACTTATGTGAATCCATCCCAAAGGGAAGCAGGAATTCACGAAATCCAGCAAAAGGAAAAAGATGGAGATGGTGATGCTCCCAGCTTAGATCCCAAATAGACAGCAGTGGTCACCGAGATGTCAACACAGAGTGACTGCAGAGTTGACAGCAGAACAGCACGGAATGCCTTCAGACGCTGCACGGGCTCCGTGGAAGACCTGCAAAGGCCATGGTTCTAAAGCCAATACTGACAGTGGTTCTACTTGCCACACTTCCACCCGATGCCTGTGATGACACCAGCACTGCAGACCCAGCTAAGCCCCACCTCCACGGACGGGCAGCTGAACTGGGTGTGGACACAAAGAAAGGCACGATGTGACTGCAGCATGGAGGGGTGAGTAGGGCTGGCAGACCACAGGTGCCATTCCAGAAGCTGCTGGAATGGCCTGGGGTAGGCGGGGCCCCTGTGGCTCACACAGGGCTGGTGACATGGCCTCAGGAGAGGATGTGAGAAGTCACATGGCTCTTCCCCCGCAGCTTTTGAGGTCACTGGGACCTAAGGATTCTCTGGCAAAAGCTCATCTCCCATTGGCCTTGCCAGGGCTCCAGGAGCTGTGCAATCCGCCTTTTGGCCACAAGAGGTCCCCAGCTGGCTGAGCTGGGAAGGAGGAGAGAGGATGGTGAAAGCCCAGTCTTGCTGTTTTTCAGGGTGGCTCCTCCCTGGGGTCTGCAGATACAGAACGAGGAGGACACTGGCTCTGGCCTCATAGCCTGAGAACTAGGGTGAGGCCAACCTGCCCAAAGGCAGGGACAATGCGAGCAAGCCACAGGTCGACTGTGGCTGACCCTTCTCCAAGGTGCTCACAGAGACTTACTCCTTGAGCGTGCAGCCACTTCTATGGAACCTGACACTTCTTCCCTCAGGAGCTGGGCTGTGTATGCAGCTGGGCTGCTATAGCCGACTCCAGCTCCCTGACCGGAGTCCCCACTGCTCGGCAGCCTAGGATGTGTGGTGTGCAGTGGGACAGATGAGACCACCTGTCAGGTAGAGGACAGAGCCTCGTGGCGGATTCAGTGATCGACTTTCCACAGGCTTCATTCTAAATGACTTTTTGAAAAGTCAGCTGACCTTCCAGTGTCCAATGAAGCCTTGCTACTGCGGGCTGCCTGTCTCCTGGTAGCCTCAGAGTGCACTCCTCATCATTTAGTGTGACCCTCCGCTGGGAGTGTACATCATTACAGGAGGGACTCGACATGTCCTGTAAGTTCACTCTGGACACTCGGTCCCCAATTTGTGTCAGTGGCATTTGAGGTGATGAGGATTGGATGAGGGCCCCTGTGGTGGCATTAGTGGCTTTACAGAAGAGGAAGAGACCAGAGCTGACACGCTGTCTGGTGTGCAATGTCCCTGTCACATTATGGTGCAGCCTGAGGCCCTTCCCAGGTATTGGCACCAGGCTCTCAGACTTCCAGCCTCCAGAGCCGTGAGACAGCAACCCCTGAGCCTTGGGCGTTGTTACAGCAACAGAAAACAGTCTGCAGCCCAGGCTGGCACACATAGGCTCCGCAGTCTTGACCCTCAATGAAAGGTTACAGTATTAACGACCACAGGAGGTCTGTCATGGTCTTACCAGATAACTCCCCCCCAGAGCAGGGAGAAGACGACGTAGAAGAGCAGTGACCCCCAGATGACGAAGTGGTTTACCCAAGTCCAGTAGTGTGTGTCCAGCGCCAGCTGTGAGAGAGAGGCGAGTAACCGCATCATCCAGCACATCCAGGATGAGAAATCAAAAGCAAAATGCAAGAGCTGAATGCCTACACAGAGCTTTCTAGGAGAAACCAAAGCAAACCCCAGGCTTCCGATGGAGAAAAAGAAGCTGTGACGTCACCCCTGGTGGGCCTCTGGGATCCCGGGGGAGCAGAAAGTGGAAGCATTTTCTCCGTGGTGGTTACGCTGCCGCTCGAGATAGGTTTGGGGACTTTCACAATGACATTGTACAGAGAGTCTGACGTGACTTTAAACAGGGTTGGGTTTTCCAAAACACAGCAGTTTGTTCAAACAACTGCCTGGACTAGATTGGGGATGGGGCTACCTCTTATAAAAGAATTAATATGAACCCTTCCACCAAGAAGTGACTTGTCCCTTCATTCATTTCCGAGCAATTCTGGCTTAGCACAGGGGCCTCCAGCCTCGACAGGGGTTCGAGAGCCCAGGGGAAGACTTGCTGTGAGCCAGGTGCTGTGGTGAGGAGCCTGTCCATGGGCCATGAGGACTCACCTTCAGCGTGACGGTGAACACCATCACAGTGAACACCAGTGCCCCAAAGGTCCAGTTTCCAAACATCTGTGGGGAAAACGGTCTGAGTGAGCTCCGGTGGACAAGCACCCATCCTCCTCACACAAGAAGCGTGTGTTCTAGAGAGCACACCCCACAGCTCGTGCACATCAGCCCAGAGACACAGGGACTATGGTTTCCTATCGGGTTGGAGGAGTCAGAGCTCAGGGAGGCCCCTCGCCAGTGCAGTGACTCAGACTGGTTTGGGGCAGAACCAAACTCGGGCTTCTGCTGATGCCAGCCTCACCCAGGGCTCGCACACGGCAAGCAAAGGTCCTGACATCTCAGACATGGGTGGTGTTAAAAATACACAGGGCAAACTCGGGCGACTCCTACACTGTTTCCTAGAGAGGAGACATTTGCTTGGTCCCCTCCTGTGCTTCTGCCTGTCTTGAGAATAAGCTCAGGGCGTCTGCTGACACAGCTGCCCACTGCTGAGGAGGACAGCCAAAACTGAGGGACAGAGAAGAAGCATACAGACAGAACAGAGCTGGACAAAGGCTGCCCCTCCGGTAATCAGGCCCACAATCACAGCCACCAATATGAACAACCAAACCCACAAGAAGAGGAATTATGGTGGGCTTTGAAGCTGCTCTGTTCCTAGCGGGGACAGGTGGGAGGACAACACGTCTCCCAGCCATAGACATCACAGCCTGAGACTGTCAGTGAGACCCAGTTGACAGGAGCCGCCTTCTGCCAAATGGTTCTCTGAGAGGGCTACGCTCCACGAGGGGCCCGACTTCCAGCTTCCAGTGATTCTCAGAGAGCTCCCAGTACTTCTTTAAAGTTTTATTTTACAAAGAATCAAAAAGCTAGATCCTCATGACTTTCTTCACAGTTCGTTTCCAAAGAAATATGCCTAGACTACACGAATCCTTGGATACCTCCAGGGGTGAGGACTCACATGTAGAATTCTAGAAAAAGTGTGTTAGGACTTTTGAGAACATTAACCCTGCCAACGCCTGCCAACATGGTGCTGGAGAAAGAGCGAGCAGCTGTTGGCTGGTTAACTGGAGGCTGCAGTCTTTGGCCAGATGGAGCCACACAGTGAGGGGAGGAGCACCTGCAGGGCCGCGTGGGCTGTGCCACCACTCAGCTGCAAGTGCAGAGTGCCTTAAAAAACTGAAGCAGTGGGATGTGGACATGGAGTGCCTGGGTCACACTGAATTACAACGGCAGCACACACGGGTCGCCTTTCAACCTGCTGAACAGCTCGCCCTCAGCACTTGCCTGCACGGTAGGACAGAGTCCCTCCACCTCACAGCCGGGTATCCTGGGGTCTGGTGGATGGTAGGGCCTGGGGCAGCACATTAGCACACACCCTAGCCCCGTGTCCAGTTGGACACATGAGACACATGACATGGGTCATTTCTATAGGCAGACAATGGCGAGGTGCACCCATCATGAATGTGGAATGTGGAATTTTGGCCAGGAACTCAGAAAAAACGAACTTCTAATCCTCCCTGCCCACAGCCCTCAGCTAGTGACAGCTTCACTGGGACAGATGGTGGGAAGCTGTCCCTATTTCCTCTTTTGTCCCCAGCAGGAGCCTCCAGTCTGTTATCAATGGTCACTTTGGTTTTTGCCATGATTCCACCAGGAAGGTGGAACAAGGGGAGGTGGGACAAGTCTCTAGGGCACAGGTTGGCCAGAGGGACGGTCTTTTATCAATACCTCGATTACACTGTTTCTAACCATACCCTCCCCTGATGATCCACGGGACTCACACCTCCACAGTGCACCTCCACTGACAACCCACCTGACTCACACCTCCACAGTGCACCTCCACTGACCTGACCCACACCTCCACAGTGCACCTCCACTGACCTGACCCGCAACCTCCACAGTGCACCTCCACTGACCTGACTCACACCTCCACAGTGCACCTCCACTGACCTGACCCACACCTCCACAGTGCACCTCCACTGACCTGACTCACACCTCCACAGTGCACCTCCACTGACCTGACCCACACCTCCACAGTGCACCTCCACTGACCTGACCCACACCTCCACAGTGCACCTCCACTGATCTGACCCACACCTCCACAGTGCACCTCCACTGACCTGACTCACACCTCCACAGTGCACCTCCACTGACCTGACCCACACCTCCACAGTGCACCTCCACTGACCTGACTCACACCTCCACAGTGCACCTCCACTGACCTGACTCGCACCTCCACAGTACACCTCCACTGACAACCCACCTGACTCACACCTCCACAGTGCACCTCCACTGACCTGACCCACACCTCCACAGTGCACCTCCACTGACCTGACACCCTCCACAGTGCACCTCCACTGACCTGACCCGCAACCTCCACAGTGCACCTCCACTGACCTGACTCACACCTCCACAGTGCACCTCCACTGACAACCCACCTGACTCACACCTCCACAGTGCACCTCCACTGACAACCTGACTCACACCTCCACAGTGCACCTCCACTGACCTGACCCACACCTCCACAGTGCACCTCCACTGACCTGACTCACACCTCCACAGTGCACCTCCACTGACAACCCACCTGACTCACACCTCCACAGTGCACCTCCACTGACAACCTGACTCACACCTCCACAGTGCACCTCCACTGACAACCTGACTCACACCTCCACAGTGCACCTCCACTGACCTGACTCACACTTCCACAGTGTGCCTCCACCTATGACCTGGTCAACTGCTCAGCCCAGTCACAGTGTCTCAGCAGGTCTCCAGCTGGCATCAGTCAGTCCAGTCTCATCTGTTTGCCTGACCTTCCTCTGAGGATAAAGCTTTGTATAGGATGCTTCTGCTCACAGAGGCATGGAACCCAGGACAACTTAATCTCTAAGTGCAGAAACACTCACGTCAGACGTGACACGTGCTTTCTCGAGGTCAGGGTGTGACACCTTTACATCTACCTGGCACCAGCTCCGCACTCCATCAGTCAGCTGTGCACCTGTGATGACTGGCACTGATGACCCTGTTTCAGCCACGCTCTGGTCTCCTGACTTCTACTATAGATGCCCCACACCTGAGTGTCCATGCAGGACACTCTACCCAGCAAGTGTGTGACGGTGACTGCCCTTGTGGCATCAAAATGAGAGAAAACTGTGGCCTTTGATATCTGTGCAGAAAATTCTCCATAAGTAAATTTTTCTTTTTAAAAACCCGGTAATTCTGTCATTCTCGTAATATTGCATGTCACCTATAAATACTCATGTACAGTGATTTAGGACTTAAAAAAAATAGTTCTGCCCTACCAACCATCAACGGAGCGAGGCTTCTGAACTGAAGCATAGTAAGATGCAGTCTGAATCCTCGGGAAACGCTGAGAATCACAATAGCAAACTGTGGTCCCAGAACCAAGGAGGGGCGCCATCCCAAGCTGCCCCGCTCTCCTTGATCCCCTGCAGAACCCACTCACGACTGCGGTTTTGGTTTAGTAGTGTAAGCTAACACCCTTACACCCCAAACACATACAAGCTAAACTCAGACTGAGAGGGGCTTCCCAGAGGCCTGAGCACAGTGGGGCTGCAGATGTCTCCCTTGGCCTCACATCGCCTGCGCCTCAGCCATCCCAACCCCTCCAATGTCTTCCTCACCAGGACACTCCCCTGTGCCACCTGGACATGCAGGCCCAGCCTCTTGGCTCCTTTGCCTGTTCAAAGCTTGGGTGGCTTAGAGCACATTCCCATCTTCATGCCTGACTAGACACACACATCCTCTGAATTAGTGCCAACTTCCCCAAGACTGGTCATGTTGCTGATGTCAGCCCCTCAGGAGTTCTTATGGGACAAAATGCTAAGCCTCCACTGACAGGTCAGCGTGCACGGGAGAGGGGCCACCAAAGCCCTCCACAAATGGCAGGGCCCCGTGGGATACTTAGCTGGGCTGAACTGGTTCCTATGCCCTCTGCCTTCGACTCTGTCCTTGTTTCAAGTTCTAATGAAAACTTCTGTCTAATAATAGCTGATGACAGGAATGTACGTGACAGGCAGGGACATAATAGGCAACTGAACAGCATCCTCCCAGGAGACCATACAGGCTTCTTGGTGGCCTAAGGAGGCATGAAGGATGAGGTTTGGGGAGTAGAGGGTGAGGAGTATGGGGAAGGGGAACTGTCAGCAGTAGTGTCTGGAGACACATCAAGAGATATGAAAGATGGTAGAGATTCTGTGGAGTGTCTGCTCCACACTCAGAAGTGAGCATGCTGCTTGCCTTTCTAGAACAGGGAGCTGTCTGCATTCTTCCCTTGTAACTGGTCTCCAGGGCACTCCTGGGGAGCCTTGTCACTGTCCTCTGAGATCCTGAGACCACAGCTATTACAGGTAGTGGGGGATGAGACGGGTGCCAGGACAGCTGGCAAAAGTTGGAGTCCCAGTTCTGGGCCTGCCTCCCTCCATCGCCTGACCTCACACGCTAGTGAGCTCCCTTCCTATCCTCTGCATGCCCGCAACCTCCAAACGAGCGGACCGTACTGAGACAGGATGTGCGGGGAAAGTAAAGTGTCAAGTGACAGTCCTTGCCATGGCATTGACTCAGTGCCACCACTCTGGGTCAAGTCCTCAGGGCTTAGTGTTAGACAGTGTAGTGTTTAAGACACCACGACGTGCTTACCTAAGGCCTGAGCCGAGGGAAAACTGCATAAGAGCTATGTGAGAATTAATGGTGGCTCTATTTAATTACATTATGGCCTGGTGGCACTCAGGAGCTATTCAATTAAAATAAACTGAGACAAAGAGTAAATTACAGCAAAGTGTAAAGTTCTCAGAACAATGAAGTAAGCTGTATTCTTGGGATCGATCTAGCAAAATCTGAGTAAGCTATGATGAAAGATAATAGCACCTTTTAGTAATGACAAAACAGAAACAAATCGATGGGTAAACACTTGGCAGGACAGGTAGCCAGAGTTTTGGGTTTCAATTCAACAGCTAAAGGATCAACTTGGATAAGACGACAGGGGGAGGAGACCTTTCTCTGGGTTAAATGAGAAACGGGAAGCGCTTCTGTTTGTTTGCTATCCCAAAGGGGCAGCTGAGCAGGAGTTTCCTCTGACGTCAGCAGCCAGCTCGGTACCCGTGACCTTAAGTGGGGACAGTGTTAAGGTCTACTTGATGCCTCTCAGCTCCCTTGGGTGTTACAGGTAGCAACCAAAGTAAGGTCCCCAACAGGCCTCCTGTCCCCTAGCAAAGGGACATGTGGTTATGGCCAGCCTCTGCAGCCCTGACACAGAGACCCAGGAGAGGGCACCTGGGGTGGGCAGAACACGCAGGAGTGACTGATGCCAGCAGAGGGCAGGAGCAGCTAACAGCGTCTCTACCAACAAAGCACACAGAGGAAGTCACGTTTGAAAATATTTTCAAGAAATATTTTATTTGTGATGCACTCCAAAAAACACAGAGGACAAACCCACGTTGTCTTACCATGTGTGTGTTGGTGGTCATTATCTGAGAGTGGGAAGGGAAGCAAATAGCAAAAAGAAAAAAAAGCAAGATACGAATAAAAGAAACCCCAGAAAGTTTGCAAACAACCTGAGCTGAACTTTCTCTAAAAACCCAATCACTCTACTCATTGCAAAGGAGACATATTTGCAGGGAAAACACTAACGTGTGTAATATGAACTTCATCCCATGGAAAGGGCAAGGCGGGAACAACGAGACAATCAGTCATAGGTGACCGGCTCATGGTGGAACGTGAGTTACAAAACACGGTCAGAAGCCCTAAGGACCGACCTGCACCTCGCGACAGCTACCGGAGGCTCTGTGGAGCACGGCACTTGCTGACACTGTGCGCGCTTAACGCAGCGTGCACGACAGACACACAGACGTGCGTCCTGACCACGGGCTGTGCTGGGCTACTGTCCTCACAAAACACAACGCCTGCGCAGGGTTGTTCACTCCTAAGCAACCAAGTCAACAAAATCACGTTCGGTACTGACCTGTCCGTTGCTGGTCACAGTTGTGTTTTCAAACATGAAATAAGCACCAAAGAAAAATACCAACGCGTCAAACACGCCAAGGAATGTCCAGTAAATGAACACTCGCCAACGGAGGAGGGCATTCTTGGCGATGTCTCTGTGTGAGGAAAAGGGGCGAGAGATTGTCATGACATTGTGACATCAGCACAGGTTCCCCCCACACTGCAGCGCGTCACCAACAGACATGAGTTCACACTCAGATTGCGCATTTACTGCATAACCAGTGGCCTCCACCGGTTTTCGCCTGACGGTTTTCTCGCCCGTATTCGAATGTGATGTGTATGGGCAGAGGCTCCAGGGCATAGCTTGTCTCCTGAAGGTGACTAATCACAACATGCAAGGTGTGACCTGAGCTAGCTACAACAGTCTTAGGTCCTGGGTTTGCCTCCCTTGCCACGGGGCTTCTTTGGCCTGTAAGTTTCACAAGGTCGTGTGCAGTGTTCCCTCAGATGCGTGTCTGGAACGGTGCACTACGTCCGTTCCTTAGCTTTTAGGGTCTCATACACGGTCAATACTCTCACGAAGACTGGGAAGCTTGGTGTGGGTTCCTGGACAGGTGAAGCAAGTGGTCTCTGACGTGGTGGTGGCCTCGGGAACTGTACACGTGAAGACCAAGGAGAACAGGTGTATACGCATGCATGAGTAGTACAAGTGACCCTGGGCAATATGAATGAGGTGAGTGAAGGACGCCAACACTGACACCCCAGGCGGCTGCCATGTTGCAGCTTCTGACCTGTTACCCCACCCCAGGGGGCGGAAACTGGGACAAAAGCCCAGGAATATCCTCTTCTCACAGCTACACGTGCATCTAAATTGTCTGAAAAATAAATGTTTAATTAAAAAGTCTACTACAAGGCAGGTGCCAAAACTCAGGAGGCAGAGATATGGAGGAGCGCAGTTTGAGGCCAGCCTAGACAAAAAAACTGAGCAAGACCCCATTTCAACCAGTAAGCCCTGTGTAATGGTGAGTGCCTGTCATTCCAGCTATGTGGGAAGCATAGGTAGTAGGATCACAGTCAGAGGCCAGTCTTAGGCAAAGCACAAGACATTATCTGAAAAATAACGAAAGTGAAAAGGGGCTGGGGGCATGGCTCAAGTGGTAGAGAGCCTACCCAACAAGAGAGGCCCTGAGATCAAACCTCAGTGTCACAAAGAAAAGAAACTCTCATCCACCAAAGATCCTGAGCCAGTTCTGAAATGGTAGAAAACAATCTTTTCCTTCTTACTAAAATAAAACAAAAACAAAAAAGCCTTGAGGAGGAAGGACCACACAAATTAAATCTGTGAACTTTTCTGAACAGAGCTTATGATAGGATAATTTAGGCCTAAATTCATGGGGTCACAGCAGGAGAGACAGCCCATCCCTGGTTCTTCCACAGTCACCAAGCAGTACAGTGAAGGGCAGACTGACCCAAGGTGCGGCCCCCTCAGAAGCCATATAGATTCTTGTGTCCACGCTGGATGTGGATCCAAGCCTGCCAGCTGTACCAAGTGTTTCTGGCTTTTCAACCTTGTCCACAGGTGTCTCCTGGAAGGAACAGCACTGCTACCTGGCTGCTCTCCAAGGCACGCACCTGTACAGGGTGGGGTCTCTCTTGAGCACATCGATGCCCACGTGCTGCTCCATCAGGCTGTACAGCAGGATCGGGAGGGAGGTGAAGCTGATATTGTAGAGAGTCAGGTATGCAGTATCATACAAAGTCTGCAGAAAGGAGAGTCAGGCTGAACCATGACATGACTCAGTGCTAGGTTTCCATTTGCAAGAAGCACAGATGAGCACAGAAGGCTGCTAAAACACATGAGGGAGCCATCTTTCTGCAGACACAGAAGGACCAGGACAACTTCCAAAAGCTTCATGATGTAAACCCGTCAGGATTAAAACTACAACTGGCAGAAGGCCCCGCTCAGATCCCTCAATTCTACCACTGTGAACTGAAAAGCTATATAAAAAGTTTGCAGTTCTGATCACCACCTTCCAGCCTTGATTCACTTGGCCCTGGCCACCCTGGATGAAAGGTGTTGACCTCCTCCCTCCAAGGGTTCACCTGCACATTCCCAAAGTCTGCTCTCCCCACAGAAGCCACCCACTGGGGAAAGGACAATAAGGATCAAGCAAGCTTCTAATTTAAAACATAGGACTGACCTGTTGTGAAAACCCACAGAAGAACTGGTATAAAAACTGAGGGAAAATGAAGCAGACATTCTGAAAGACAAGCACAAGCGTTACTCAGTGATGTTCTGTGGGAGATATCACTGCCTGTCCTAGAATCCATAGCTATCGTCAATGTAATCTGCTTCAAACAAATGTGCCCCACATCCTACAGAAAGCGCGTAATGGGCTTCAGAAGTCCTTCTCCTATTACAGAGGTAACTACAATGTACGCACGACCCTACTGTGGTCTCGCCAACAGAGAAAACATACAGGGAGGAGTGTTAGCTGAGGCGGGGGAGGCAGAGGGGGATCGAGAAGGAAGGGCCTGCCTCGTGGAGAGGCAGTGCTAGAGGAGCTGACAAGACTGCCCTTCCTCAGGCACCCCACACCCAAACCTTCCTTCTGGTTCCACGTCAAATTATGGGAAGGTCAGGACTGCTAGGGTTTCCTCTCCTGGTAACAGGACAGTCACTTCTGTTTATAGGTGAAAGACCCTCACAGCAGCATCGAGTCCCCTGACAAAGGCTACACTGTCAAGCAGGTCACACGAGGAGCAGAGAAATGCTTCCTACCTTATAAAAGAAGTACTGAACGAGCTCAGATATCCTGATGTAATAGAAATGCCCGTGAACAAGGAGCATCTTCTTCAAGTGCTTGAACTTTGGTATTGCGTAGTCACTATTCCTTGCAGCCTGACGGCCTTCCTTCCCGATGACACCTGCAAGGAAGGAGTGGACGTGTGGGTGACGAGGCCGGGGAACCATCACCAGGAGTGTCCCGGTGTGAACACCAATTCCAGCTGGAGGCCTGGTGGCCCTCTGGTGCTATGATACCGCCCTTGTCTTGCCGAAATGACACACCTGGTCTCCAGGACATGCTGACCCCAGACTGAAGCTGTGATGCTTACCTATGCCCACGTGGGCCTCCAGGATCATACTGACGTCATTTGCGCCATCACCGATGGCTAACGTGATAGGGTGCTCTTTTGAAAATTTTATCAACTTAACAATCTGGAAAAGAAATTAAGTGCAGCATTTATTTTCTGTATTTCATTAGAGAATCACTAATCAATCAACCATTAAGGAGGCAGAACTAAAGAAGACATAAAGGAGGTCTAGGAAAGAGAAGAAAACCGTATAAAGTTAATTTATGATACTTGGTCTATTTTCTCCCCAAAGGACAAAAACTTTTTCATACGAAACAAAGTAAAAGTTAATAAGATATGATCATGGTGACATGATTTGAAAAGGGAAGAGTGGCTGTCACATGTATGTATTTACACAGAGGGGGATGAAAACAACACAATCCGTGAGAAGCTACTTGCAATGTGACTCTATGCTATTTGGTATCAAGCAAATACTTTGTAAAGTAACTGTTCCCAATGCTGTTTTAATCTTCAGATTTGTCACATGTAAAAAAACCAAGTCTAGTAGATGAATGCAATGAATGACTTCCAGTGACTCCCAGAAAGTAGCCAGCTACTTTCTAGTTTTTCCCTCCATTCATGTGCCCAAGTGCAACAGCACAGGGATGAGAATAGAAAGATGGAAAACTGGATCCCCTTCTCATTTCAGGGTGAAAGACTTTGTACAAAACTTTTCAAAATTAGTTGACAACCTAAAGACAGTATAGAAAATCCTTAGCTGCCATCCTGGAAGTAATTAATCAAGGTTTACATGGATTTGACCATGTAAGTGGGAGGGTAGTAATAAAGCCATTTCATCCCAAGTGGGATGTATATGAATTCCTGTTTCAGCTTGTCTTCTCTGAGTCTCCTGGGGACACTTTGGCTTTGGTGACAATGACAGACTGGCAGAGCACATGCCACAAAGTGCCTTGTACCCGGTTCTCAGTCTGTACAAGGTGCACTCGACCTTAACTGCAGGGCCAGGCTGAGAAGTCACAGATTTCTTCCGGGAACATTCAAGGTAAACTGGCCTACTGAACCTAAAACGTGCTGTGATGAAGGTGGATCTCTTCCAGGCTTACAGACACGTTTGCAGATGTTTTCCAGACACATTTCAAAGTGCTTAAAAAAGAAAAGAACACTTTAGATGTGTTTCCCACAAGAGCATGGGGGTGGGGGAGGACACAGCTGGGGCCTGACAGATGAGAGTCAAATTCTGACTATCATTTCCAGCTGGATGCTTTGGGACAAGCATTTTGAGTTTGGAATCTAGGAAACCCTGACTCGTCCAACATTCTGAAGGCCAAAAAGCACTGCTGCCTGTGGGTGGCAAGGGTAGGTCCTCAAGGAGTGTCAGCCCTCAGCTGGCACAGGGGCCTGGGTCTCATCTCAGATTGCTGAGTGGTTGAGGGAGATCGGGAAGCTGAGATGAGGAGAATGGTGGTCCTAGGCTAGTCTGGGCAAAGGAAGGTCCATGAGATCCTGTTTCGATGGAAAAAAGCTGGGTGTGGTGCACACACCTGTCATCCCAGCTACAATGGGAAGCATAAACCAGGAGGATCGTGGTCCAGGGTAGCCTGGGCAAAAGCAAGACCCTGTCTCCAAAATAAACAGAGCGAAAAAGCTGGAGGCTTGGCTCAAGCTGTAGACTGCCAGTAACACCAGAAAAAAAAAAAAAAAGCCAGCTCCCTTCCCTGCACCTTCAGGGCAGATGGCTGAGAGCAATGTGACAGTATAACCTGCAGGGGAAGCAAGGGCATCTGTAGCAAGGGCCAAACTGACTCTTGACGCTCACTACTTCCTGAGGGTGGTCTAGAATCCAGGTTAAAGTCTCTCTCACTTTTGTACTCTGTTTCTAAAAGGTGGCACCTCCCTGATCGAGCTGTGAGGCCCAGGAAAGGTCTCACACGCCGAGCACACTGTGGCCAGGAAGCGGGCAGGCGGTACCTGGGCCTTCTGCAAGGGTGCCATACGGCAACACAGAACAGCACTGCAGTTCCGGCAGATCTCCAGGAACAGCTCCCGGTAATTGCCAGAGCTCCCATCCTCCCGAGGCTTCATGATCAAAGACAACGCAGCTCCGTCGATGATCAAACCATAGTCGTGCATATCGGTCGAAAGTCTGGGGGAGCACACAGACCAGGAAGATCACTTAGTCACTCAATCTATACATTTGAGAGCCCTGCACACTTCTGGGTGTTGGGAGATGCTACAAATTCGTGGGCCTGGGAAGGTCATATTTACATATATACGTGGAATGTCACAGGAAACTCTGCGTAGCTATCTTAAACGAGAATGTCTTTTCAAAAACAGGGAACAGGAAGGTAAAACGGGTCCAGTCTGGGGGTATGTACCAGTGGGTGGGGGAAGGATAGGGAAAAGGTGTAGGAGGTGAATATGGTGGAGTATTATGCACTCATGTATGAATATGGAAAAATGAGACCTGTTCAAACTATTCCAGGAAATGATGGAGGAGGGATAAAGGAGAATGATGGAGGGGTGAATTCAACTATGACATATTGTAAGAACTTTGGCAAATACCACAACAGTACAACAATACAAAAAGATAAAAAAAGCTGCATCTCTTGTTTCATCAATATAACCTTTGTAGCACTTTGCTCACATTGTAAAATTGTGTTTTAATGACACATTCTCATTTCACTCAGATGAAGCAAATGCAATTTGTGAGTTCTGGGACTTTAACCACCTCACGGGAGTCTCAAGATGTTGGTCGGCCTTTGTTCTTGGTCTTGCCGGCCTCCTTGGCCAGCCTGTGTGTCTGACAGCACAGCTAGTATCTCCTGGGGTCTCTGCCCCAACGACCTGAGCTGTTAAAACACGGTCAAAATTTCCCCTTTGCTGGGCTTCAACACTACAGAGACGCCTCCAATCCCTAAAAGGCAGAGCAGTCACAGGGGAATAGCTTTGTGCTGCCGCTGAATAATTTAAAGCTTGTGTACGATGAGAGAGCTGATTTGCTTTGCCGACATTAACGAGAATCCGAACCCATCCAAGGAAGACCCAATCACAGAGGAGGTGCCAATAGCCAGCAAGGACAGCCACTGATAAGACACGTCAGCAAAAATGCTGAATGTTCTTGGAAGGAATTAACTCCCGGGCATGTTGCTGTGTGTCAGACAAACAGCCTGCATTATTAATACCCTGGCCTCTCTGTGAAGGCATTTGCAATGGGTCCTAAGTCTTAGGAGCAGATGGGAACTATCACAGTCAAAATGTGTACAGTTATGTCCCTTTGTGTCCCTTCTCCTGACTTTGAAACTGCACCATGCATACATGCATGCAGGATGACAGGCCCAGTAGCTTCAGAGAGAGGGCCCCCGGCAGGTCCCAGTGTTCATGTGCACCATGAGGCCACTGACATTAGAGTCCAGGTGCATGCAGGCTGAGAAGGCTCTGACTTGTGAACGGAAGGAGATGCTGCCTACCCCGAGAAGCTGTCCCTTGTCAGGCTCCCGCTACAACGAAGCACGGTCTTGCTGAGCTCAAAAAGAACATCGTGCAGGCTCTGCTCCTCGATCCTCTTGGTGGTCAGCTCCAGCAGCTGAGTGCCCCTCCGGAAGAGCTTGCAGGCATAGCAGGTGGCCGCAGCTGTCTCCATCTTGTCCCCAGTGAGCACCCAGACTTTTATGCCTGCTTTCTGCAGTGCCTCGATGGTGTCTGCGGCTTTCTCCTGGAGCCTGCGAAAGCGTATGACACGGGAATCAGGGCTGGCGAAGGCCGGCGAAAGGAGAATTTCAGAAATGAAGTCGTTCAGAGTAGCTCAGGCCCTGGGGATGCAGAAGCACAGTACTGCTATATTCCTGATCTTGCTGTACAGAACCTGAACCTGAGCTCAGGAATTCACACTCGCAGAACCCAACAGACAGATGCAGGGGAGCATTCAGTAGGACGGAAGCTGTGTCATAGGACTGAGCTCCAATTGCCACACCCCAGTTCCCTGCCTCGCTGGCTCTCCCTACGCAAGACCGTTGATACTCTGAGCTAGGAAGTTCCTCCCAGAGCCTCACCAAATCATTACAGTTAGGCAGCTGTAAGAAGAATCCATAAGTCTTATGCAGGGAAAAATGGGATCAGAAAACAAGGTGCCAGCAATTCATTACCTTTCCTTTTGGTATAAACTATTCTAATGGAGCACAGCTGTCTCTAACTAATAGCAAATCCTGGTAACCGTGCCAGTGCCCCACAGCTAGCTAACGTGCATCAGAGAAGCCAGGTGCTATATGTAACCCCATGGGGTCAGACCTCACCACCGCCTGTCTTGTGTGTGGAAAACACAAAGCTTGCAAACATTCAAAAAGAGCTGAGGACAAATGGTGTCCTGACAGTCAGGCTGTCGCCATCCACAGAGGGCTGGTGTCACAGCAGAATGGCCTCAAGTGTGGAGCCTGCACTCTCTTTTGATAATAGTCTCAACTTTCGAGAGGCTTGGGAGGTAATGTGCCTTATTTCTAGGTTAAATCCTAAATGGAATGACTTGGTGACACTCTGGAACTTCCTAGCTCAAAGTGTCAAGACCCTACAAGCTTAGAATTCTAGAAGTGACAAAAGCCAGCTCATTTTAGACATTTTTGAAAAGGAATCTGTGGTCTGCAGAGGTTTGTGAAGACACCGACTCAGAATTTTAAAGAAAACCTTGTCATCTAAAACTGTTCTCTAGCCACATCATCCCACCCACGGAGGGTTCTGTGTCCCAACCTCAGCCAAGTCAACCATCCCAGAGCAACGTGTACACCCATTTGGAGGCTCTCCCTGCAGCAGCCTCCTCTTCCTAAACCCCACTGCTCTCAAGGGCCAATCAGACTGCTCCCCGGCCAGCACTGTCCTACGGAGGACCCCTCTTCTCCACAACAAGCAGGGTCCGTGGCACCAGCACCACGCTGGCCACCTGGCCCTTTACTCATCAGACAAGGCAGCTTCTCAGGGCATTCATCTGTTTCCAAAACGAAAACCAACCAAGTTCCCCAGGTTGCCCAACACTCCACCGGGATGGAGAAATAAGGAGGGTTTGTAAAAGGAAATGGGTTCAGGGACGAGGACTTAGTTCTGGACAAAAGTGGACCTTAAAGGCCAGTAAGCTTGGAGGAGGTAACACTCAGTAAATCTCCCTAAGTTCCCGCTGCATCCTATAAGCTGGGGGTTTTCTCTGCTCCATCTCTCTGTCCTGATGAAGGACACCCTGCCCTGGGCACCTGGGCAACAGGCCCTCCATCCCTGCCCCATCATTATCTATAACCGAGACCAGGCAGGCGTGTGGCGTTACCGGTCCTCCACGGCCGTAGCACCAAGCAGAATTAGATCCTTCTCGATGTGCTCATAGGCTTCTGCTAGTTTCTTCTCCCGGTCTTGAAGCGCCACTTTGGCAGACTGCAGCAGCTTGGAGACACCTTCGTATTCCTCCGGGATAAGCCTTTTGTAGGCAACGCACAGGGTCCGAAGCCCCTCCTGTAGAGTACAAGGCAGCGTGTAAGGAAAACCCCGTGTTGTCCACTGAATGTCACCTCCAGGCACTTCCTCAGTGCTCCCTTAATTAGAACGACGAACCACTGAAGGAGTCAGGCAATCCCAACTGAATTAAATCCACATTAAATACGGATCGTCAATATGGATTGTAAAACTTCCAAACCAGGAGGCCCGCAGGTAACTAACGTCAGGCCATCACATCAGAAGAGTCTTTGCTTTTTCATTTTGGCAAATGCAGCATGCAATCTAAGCCTTCTTTAAAAGCATAATAATTTGTGGGGTTTTGTTTGACTTCTTTGAGACAGGGCTTCACTATGTAGCCCAGGCTGGGCTTGATCTTGAGATTTCTCCCATCTTAGACTTCTGACTGCTGGGATTACAAGTGTTAACCACCACACCCAACAATACTTTGCAATTTTATGGTAAATATCAATTGGTTATTTCTAGAGTAAACATGTTATTTTGGGGGAGCTCTGCAAAGTAGTTTGATCTTATTTTGTGGTCACTGAGGGAAGACTGCAGGGTTATTTATCCATATTACTGAGAATTTATGAATAACAGGTTCTGTGCTGCTGCTCCCTTCTCTTCCCCTGTTCCTCCATCCCCAGCTAGACACTCAACAGTGCAAGAACCCAAGCCTCCTAAATAAGCCAGCAAAACCTGGGTGAAACTGGTTTTTAAGATTTCTAAAAAGATTTCCCATTTCATCTTGAAACGTGCTGCAAGTCTTGGGGGGAATGCCTCAGACTTCTCTTCGTTGCTCAGACTGCCAAACTTGTCCTCCAAATTTATCTGAAGGACACAAGCACCACTTGGGTTGATGTCTCTCAAGAGCCAGAGGGAGGAAGGCCCATGAGGTGAGCTAGCTGGCTGTGTTCCCAAGCTAGAAAAACCACATGGCAAGAAAATGGTTCTCTGAGGGTAATAATCCAGAGCTGCCCAGAGCGTGGGGTTGTGGGGGTGGTAAGCGGAGGCTTTCAGAAATAAGAAGTGCTTGTTTTTAAAGGAGATTGGGGACTTCCACTTGTGGGCGTGTGGGTGGAAGTCCTTTCTCCATTCCTCCTGCTCAGAACTGCTGACGTTTTGCATGGTGTACACCAAGTAATGCCAGTGTGCAAACAATCAGGCAGTCACACTGCCCTGTGAGGAGATCACAGCACAAAATCCTCTAGAGCAAGGATGCAAGATCCTCTCCTGCAAAACTGAACCCAACAGACATTGAAAGAATGACACACTGTGACCAACTGGGACTTATCTGGAATGCAAGGGTGACTCAGTGGATAAAAACCAGTCATCCACTGGTTGAAGGGAAAAATCCGTGAGATCATCTGAATTGATGTCTGAACAGATCCAGTGCCCTCATGACAAGCTGGGATCAGAAGGAGCCTCCTCAACACCAGAAAAATTGTACATGGACAACACACCGCTGTACCGTCACACTCAATGGAGGAAGACAGAGAGCTTTCCCCCAAGATCGGGAACAAGACAAGGAAGCCTGCTCTTGCCACTTCTGTTCAACCCAGTCTTGGAAGGTCTGGTCAGAGCAATTAAACAATAAAAAATGGGGGAAAGGCACCCTGGGTAGAAAGGACAACTTTCTAAAGACTATCTGCAGAAGACATGATCCTATAGCTGGGAAACCATTAAGAATGGATACCTCGCCACACAGGAACCATCAATGCAAACAAATGAATCCAGCAATGATGCAGGTGCAAAGTTGACACACAAACGCCAATTACGTTTCATAAAGCCCCAAGACACAACTTGAAAAGGAAATTAAGTAAACAATTCCATTCGCAATAGTACCAAAAGAAAAAATACTTTGAAATAAATTTAATCAAGGATGAAAAAGACTCACAGACTGAAAACTACAAAAGTTTACTGAAAGAGATTACATAAGGAAAGGTGTGTGTGTTCATGGATTGGAGACATATTTTGTAGACAACAATGCTACTCAAAGCAATCTATAGATTCAATGGAATTTCTATCAGAACCCAAATGGCATCCTCTGTAGGAACAGAAAACTTATCCAAAAAGTCATACAGAATTTCAAGGCACTCAGAATAGCCAAACTACTGCAAAATAAGATAAAGTTGGAGCCGGGCACTCACAGCTTACGCCTGCCTGTAATCCCAGCTACTCAGGAAGCAGAGATGAGGAAGATCTTGGTTCGAAGCCAGCCCAGGCAAATAGTTTACAAAATCCTATCTTGAAAAAACTCTTCTCACACACACACACTAAAAAAAGGACGACAGAGTGGTTTAAGCAGTAAAAGCACCTGCTTAGCAAGTGTGAGACCCTGAGTTCAAACCCCAGTGCTTTCCCCCTCCACCAAAAAAAAAGAACACAGTTGAAGGATCATACATTGTGATTTCAGCACTGAGATGTGCAAGCAGGGAACAGAGGAGCATGCACGGGTGAAGAAGCACTGGAAGGCCAGGCACCAGCCATTGGAAGGAGCAGAGGGGCCTCGCAGAGCACCAACAGAGCATACAGGCCGTGCCTGATGGAGCAGACTATCTCTGAGAAACTCGGCTGCATCCCAGAATGAAACCCAAGAGTTACAGGAACACCAAGCAACCCAGCACCCAGCAAGCCAAAGTTCCTGGCAGTATCCAGCATGCAGAGGCCAAGCCCTCACCCCAGACCAGGAGATGAGCCCATCAGCTGCGGGTGACCCAGTGTAGACAGCCACCTCGATTGCATCACTCATGACCCAAGCTAAGGAGAAGCTGGGGACAAAAAAAAAACCTGGTGGAACTTCCAGACATGAAAACTCCAGTGTCCAAAAGGAAGGGCACCCAGGCAGGACTATGGCAGATTAGATACCACGTAAGAAAAAATGTGACCAATGGGTGATTGGAATTGCTGTCGAGGGGGGAGGGGCAGAAAAAATAATAGTAGAATAACCATTAAAAATTCTCAACCCCGATAAAGACCTACAGGTGCAAGGTGTGTAAGATCCCTGAGCAGAAGAAACACGGACATCAGACACCAAGGCACAACACGACCAAAGATCTTAAAAGCAGCAGGAAAGAGAAGACATGGTGTGTACAGAGGAGCAAGAACAGTGACATCAGGTTCCCAAGAGAAAAGGGAATATCCACTCAAACCGAGATGCACGCTCTAGACGGTTCATGGAGCTTTGCTCAATCTCAGGGTGGAAAAATTCCAAATGTGCATTAACGAGTGAGTAAATGAGATGCAGTGATCCACTCACACAATGGACTCAGCAAAACCAGGAAGGAACTATTGGTACATGCAGCACCTGACCGAATCTCAAATAGTTATATGAAGATTCTGTGATTTTGTGATTCTATTGATACAAAACGCTAGGAGGTGGCAGCAAACAGCTGTTTTTTATGGTGGGGATTGGGGGACTTAAGGAAGGCAAACTCCAGGGGCAATGCTTTCAGGCATCCACTTGTACCTCCTTTTTTTCTTTTAATTATTCATTTATTCACATGTGCATACACTGTTTGGGTCATTTCCCCGTCCTGCCCCACTTTCCCACCCTTGAACGTACTTTTACACTCTTTATAGTCCTGTAAGTATGTCACTTATACGTTAATAACACGCTCTCTAAAAAAACGAAAGACTTTAAAATCATCATAAGAAACACAATGTAAACTTCTACTCTCCCAAAAACATTTCTCTTTCAGATAAGTAAGGGAGAACGTGCAGAACAAATGGAAGTATAACCAGTGTCAGTCTGCTTGCCAACTACAACCAAGGTTCCAGTGTCCCGGGGAACACTGGGAAGGAGAAGGCAAAATCCTCCATGTGCCCAGGTGAGAATGCAGCTACCAGCAGGATTTCAAGAATGTCGCCCTACTAAGTTTGATGAGACCCAACCCAAGCTGTGCAATGCCATTAACGGCGCTCTTTTGAGGTGGTGTAAATGGTGCTGTAGGGAAGACATGTTCACGTTAGCATGAAGCGTTCAGAAATGGGAGTGGGGCTGATGGAGTGGCTCAAGTGGTGGAGTGCCTGCCTAGTAAGCATGAGGCCCTGAGTTCAAGCCCCAGTACCGCCAAAACAAGCAAGCAAACAAACGAAAAGAGTATATACAGAAGCAGGAGTGGAATGCCGCCTCATCCCAGGGCATCGAGGTCCTGTGTACCCCCTGGCCCCTGGCCCTGGGAGGACGGGCTACGAGGGAGCAATCGCCTCTCTGGAGACCTGTCTCTGACTGCGCTGTGAACCCAGCAGCCTCCCAACAGGAAGCCGAGGCCACCGGCAACGTCAGAAAGCCCCAGAGTCGAAGGAGACATCTGAAACCCATGTGCGTAGAGGGAGAGGGATCAATGGAGCACAGTCAGCAGCTCACCACCGCGTTGCGCTCCACTCTGGATCGGATCTGGTCCACTTTGCCTTCGATCACCCTGGGAAATATGGAAGAGTCTGCTCCTTTGCAAAACAGGTAAATTTCCCCTGAAAAATGAGAACAGACAATGCTGGATTTAACCACAATACGGGGAAGACTAGATTATTTTTCAGTGGCTTTTTTTTGGAACGGGGTTGAGTTTAGGGCTAGGTGCTTGTTAGGCAGGTGCTTTACTGCATGAGGAACAACCCCAGTCCTTTTCTGCTTTAGTGACTTTTCAGATAGGGTCTCGGATCCATGCTGGTGCTGGTCTGGACTGCGATCTTCCCACTTATGCTTTCCATGTGGTTGGGATGACAGGTGAGCACCACCATACCAAGTTCTTATTGGCTGAGATAGTAACTTGTAAACTTTTTGCCTCGGATGGCTTTGAACCACAATCCTCCCCATCTCTGCCTCCCAAGTAGCAAGGATTACAGCTGTGAGTGACTGTGCCCAGCTTCAAATTGATATTAAAAGACAAAAACTAGGGGCAGTGGTCCTGAGACCATTTTAAGGGAGATTTGAATGGATCAGTTAACAAATGAAGATCAGTAACAATTAATTCTTCAGAATATCCCAAAGCTTCATTTTATTCCTAAAACCTAGAGCTCTGAGAGAAAGTTGGGGGTCAAGAATGGAAGTTAGCCCCTGGGTATCAGCCTCCCTCTTCTCTCCAGGAAAGACACAAATGAAGAATAAGCTAGGGGAGGTGTGATAAAACAAAGGGCGCATGGCTGACCAGGAGGAGGGCCACTAAGTGGACACGAAATCCCTTTCAGAGTGTGTCCTGACACGGCACAGGCATCCTTTGTCTTAGCAAAGTCAGGAGAACACCGCTTGTGGATCTTTCCCCACATCTCCATCTCGTGTCCATCAGCCTTGTGCACACATGCTTCTCAGTGTTCAAGATGAAGCCTTCTCTCTCTGACAAGTCAGGAAGACGCTGGCAGACGGCCAAGCAGCAGCTGAGACGAGACACCAGCTCTGATGCAGCACACTCCCGACTCTTCGACGCCTTGCTCAGGCTGAGGGGCCTTGCAGCTCCCTGCTGGGCAGTGTCTTTATGGGGCAGCCATGGAAATGCCACACACAATGGACGTAGGGCTGGGGAAGGGCACACCATGGTTGGTGTGAAGTTCCCAGGAGGCTTGGAGGCCCAGGTCCCTGGTGGAGATGGCTCCTTAGTCCCTAATGCTGACAGCCCTTAGACATAAACAGGGATCAAATCCAGAGGTCAGCAGGTGAACTGATCACCTCCCAGGCTGGGGTGAGGGAGAGGGACACTCCTGGGCTGATGACTGGGCCAAGGTCCATGACTCAGGGGTATGTCAGGAGCCCACCTTTTATTTCTGACTCCCGGGAAGAACTAACTCCCGAAGTGCACAAACAGGGAAGGCCTCTGAAACACAGACGCAACACTTCCTTGCAGAGGTCACAGCCAAGGCTGATATCAACCAAGGCTAGAAGGGTCAGTACAGGGCAATGTGGTGCTGTGAGTGCCAGGGTGGAGCCGGTGGCTGAACAAAGGCTGGGAGAACCAGCCCTTGAAATAGCCATCTGAGGAAGCTTCAGGTCCTGCCCTAGACAGCATCTGCCCAGCCACAGGGTTACTACAGGTGCCCAGGCACTCGCCATGGATGGCAGCCGCTGGGGTTACTGACACCATCCAGGCTGATTTCAGAACCAACCTTCAATGACCGCATGTGGTCTCTAGAACAGAGGCAGGCAGTGTCCGGGAAAAGTCTTAGATCCTGCTTTTCCGGGTTGTGGACAAGAGTGAGGTCACAGGACAAACACAGTGACGTTGACTGAACACGTGGGGATCTGGTCTCCACCACCAACTCGGTCCTGTCGGTTGTGCCTGGCCACCCACTCCAGGGACAAAAGCTCACAGTGGCCTTCACTGTGTCCCACACAAGCTGGCTCAGTGAGTGGAAAGCCACGCATGACAGAGACATCTCAGTAACGGCTGTTGTGTGGGAGGAAAACAGCGTCAGCTGAGCAGGCCAAAGGAACTTTTTAGTACAGCTGTCACTACGCTTTCTCCACGTCAGGTGTGTCCTGTGTTTCACCTCGGGTGGCATGGACACTGCAGAAAGTGCCGTGGACTTCTGATGTCCTTTCCTCAATTCAGTCTTGGTGAGGCCCATACAAGCTCACAGCACAGAGGTTCAGACGTCTGAGACAAGTCTTCCTAAGTTGTGGGCAGCCCTTTGATTGTGGTCAGGCCTGGGTCCACCCACCCTTTAGTTGGAGAAGTGGCCCAAGTGGCTGTGTGGGTAGTGTCCACCCCCTGAGATGTCCTACTACTCAGAGAACAGCTGGTTTAATGGAATATTCAAACTTCTATTAAAATTAACTGACGAAGCGGCTGTTCCAGATGGGCTTTCCTCGTAAGCACACTGTTCCCCAGAGAGGCCCCAGGAAATCCAGTGGTGTCCTTGTAGACAGGGACACTGCATCTCAGACCTAAGTTCTATGTTTTTGAGGTGCTGAGGATCCAATCCTGGGCTTGGAGCATGCTAGGCAAGTACCTGACCATTTGACTACATCTTCAGTGCTTCGTGTTTCGAGACAGGGTCTCAGTGGGTAGCCCAGGCTGACCTCAGACTTCCTGCTTCAGCCTCCCAAGAGCTGAGGTTACAGGCGTCCATCATCACGCCCAGCTCAGACAAAAGTTCGAGCTTTCTGGATAATGGAGGGTGTTTACAAAGATATGGGGTGAAGCCCCCTACATAAGCATGGTGACCTCAGTGGCCGTTCCATGGAGGGTAAAGCAGTCAGCACCCAGGCTTGGGGACAGTGCCTTCAATGCTGCTCAACTAGGTTTCCTGCGATAAAATCGATCGGTTAAATTCTCACCCTTCAACGCTCCCATTCTGGAAAATTCTGAATGTCTTCAAGTTGCAGGACAAGTCCCAGCAGGGTTAGTGGACAGCCTCCCGTCCTCCAGCTGGTGTCAGAGCCCCTGGGCTATTCTCTACCACCCTTCCTGCTGGCTGCGTGGTTTGGGTGGTGAAACCTTATTCCCCGAGCAGCATTCAATGGCTGACGCCCTACGACTTTAGTTCAAGTCTCACGCAGTTGAGGAGGCTCTGCTCCTCACGAGCATCTGCTGAGGGGTGACGCTCTGAGACTCAGTGGGAGCTGGCACAGACAAATGGCAGGCAGCCACAGCACCGTGACGAGGCCTCTTAGCCAACACTTAGACCTCAGTGTGTGGGCAGCAATTCACTGGATCTGCTAAAAGGTCCGAGGGAAACTCCTGCCCACGTTGTCAGCAGTCCTCGAAGGAAAATAAGGCTCAGTTGTTCCCAACCAGAATGCCAGGGTGGCTCTGCTCACTTCATGTGGACAACGAGACTCCCTTGATGTGATGCAGTGACAGAAGTCTCTCCAACACTGGACGTGTGTGGTTCAGGGTGGCAGCTCTGCTTGCTCGCCAGGCACCTTTCCAAGGAGACAAGCAGAGCTGGTATTATCCAGCTTTAGGAAACTCCAAAAACAAGGCTTGTCATCTCTTGATAAAATGTCACTTGACATTGCATTCAGCAAACAGAACACAACAGTGTCCACAGAGCTCAGCAGTGGGCAGTGCTGTGGGGAGAAGACTCCTGGAGAGTGCAGAGGCTAAGGACAGATGGACAGCTCCAATGAGGACAACATCCAGTTGCCTGCAGACAGGGAGGTGCATGCCTGAGACAGCAGGGGATGGTGTCCTCACCAGGCGGCTGCCGAGCTGGCCCCAGAAAGGCACAGAGCAACAGGGCCTTGCAGGTGGGAGATACACCAGGTAGGAGAAATGACCGGGAGGGTGTGGGGACGAGAGACAGCTCCCCATGTGGACGGTCGGGGTGGCATGGGGTCAGCAACCAGGAAGGCATTTGAGAGCCTCAGTGAGGGTCCTGCAGAGCCAGGAAGCAGGTGGGGCTGTGCAAGAGGTGAAAAGACAAATGGAGCCAGATCTGCAGGGCATACTGGTTCAAGAGCCCAAGGGCCAAAGAACAAAAGAGACTGAGGCGCCAGGGCCATAGGACTGTGTAAGCCAAGCCCTATGAGAGCCAGGCAAGGCTGAGGGCAGGGAGTGAGATGTGAGGCACGGTGTCCACCTGTGCACATATGTTCCAAGTGGGAGACTCCTCCAGAGATGCTGAGGAGGACCCTACAGAACCTTCAGGCCAGGAGGAGCTGACCCAGCAGGGACAGCCCCAGGACTGAGTGAGGTCCAGGAGCCAAACACCAACGAGCATGGAGCTCACAGGCAGAGGTCAGCCAGAGTCACAGTGCCAGGGGGACTCGACCGTACCCACTCGCTCATCTCCTCACACTCTAGAGCACAAACCCGAGTTTATTGTTCTCCCACGCAGACCCACTGCCACAGCAACCAGCCAACCAAGAAAACTCCCTTGATGTAGCTTTTCAGTATCAATATACAAATATCTACAGACACCTGTAACAGTTCCTTAAAAATGGTCATTTAAAAGTAGGTTCTGGGGCTGGAACCATGGCTCAAAGGGTAGAGCACCTGCCTGGCAAGTTTGAAGCCCTGAGTTCAGACCCCGGCACCACCAAAAAGAAAAAGAAAGTATGTTTTGTATAACGTAAGCAGATATGGACCTCATAAATAGGGTGAGATGCCCACTGCAGTGCAATGGCCCTGGCTCAACATCATAGAGATGCACAAAGAACTTGCCGGGTGTCTACCCACTACCCATTTCTACACAACAGTATTTTATGGAAGGGTGTCCCTATACTTCTATAAAAACAATAAACGGTTCTTAAATTCTAAACCTTTAAGGGCCGATAGAATTTAGCCTTTGGAATAAAACCACCTCCATGTACAATTTCAGCAATCAAGAGAAAGAGAAGCCTCTACCTGTAACAGATTTTACGATCACACTCATTCTCCTTCTTACAGAGTCAAAACTCAAAACTTCCAGCAATTCAAATCTGAAAAAGAAAAGTAAAAAGTGTAACACTCCTCTGGATCTGGATGCTTCAAGGAGGGAGACTCCGCGCAGGACAGTGGCTTCCCGCCGACTGCTCCGGACCTCACAGAACACGCAGCTCGCCATGCTCTGGGTGATAGAGAGCTAGGCTCTGCCCCTCCCTCAAGACTCACAACATCTGTGTGGCATTTGCAATGTCGAAAACAGCTCCGCTAGCTCTGAAAACTCTTTGGGCTTGAGACCAGCTGGGGTCTTGGGGGTCGAGGCTGCCCACACTAGGTCCTCAGCAGTGCTGAGACCTCCCAGCCAAAGCCAGCAGCAACAAGCCAGTCAGTCAGCATACTACAGGGGTCCTGAGCCCCAAGAGGCCCAGTTCTGCAGGGAAGAAGTGGCAGCAGTGGATGGCCAGGAGCCCCCACCCTTTCCTACTCACCTGGGGATTTTTTTTTAAGAATGAAATTTTGAAATCCAGTTTTTCTGATGTCATCAATACTACACCTTGTGGTCTTTACCTGTTCCACAACTGCTCAGTTGTAAGGAGATGTGATCCCCAACTGCCTTACTCAGAACTCGAGGAATCATTTGTCTCAGGAAGAAGAAATTCAACATTGAGCGGCCCCCAAATCCAAGTCAGTCATTCAAACGCACCTGTGCAAACTACTTGCAGAGGTTCCTATGCTCCACGACCTGGCACTTGGTGCCATAGGTGGGGATGGTCACTCACTTCCTCCCCTATGGAGACAGCCAGGGGGCCTCGGGAGGCCAGAATATTCTACACGCTACAGGAGACCCTGATTTAACCCGAGAAACTCTTTCCGCTGCACGCCCATTTATGCCTCCAAGGCATTCAGGTGGTGTCGGTCCTGTGACACATCAGCCCTCTGCCCCCTCGCTGCATGGTCTAGGTGTCTAGAAGGTTCCATGATGTCCTTGGGTGGGCACTAGGAAGAAGGCAGAGGATCGGTCACTGCTCTCCTCACCTCTCAAGGTCATTGTCCCTGTTCAGGATCTCCATGTAGTTATCTTTTAGCCTCAGGAACGTGAAGCCAAGCCTGCAACAGGAAAAGGAAAGCCAGGGCTTAATCTCGAATTCGGACACCATTCCTCCACAGGGTATCTGTGTTACACGGAGGAAAGGCTTTCTATTTTTTAAAGAAAACAGAGGTTATAAACTACAGTATGAAGTCAGGAGACTAATTTTTTCTTTTTTCTTTTGGTGGTACTGGGGTTTGACCTCAGGGCCTTGCACTGGCTAGGCAGGTGTTCCACCACACCTCAAGTCCATTTTGCTCCAGTTATTTTTAAAGATAGGGTCTCACGAACTATTTACCTGGGCTTCCCAAGTAGCTCACCCCAGTGAGATTGGCCCTTGGAAGCAAAAACCATGGGCCAGAGGGGAAGATGGAACAGCCCGCCCTAACTTTTTCTGTCTCCATCCTGCCTGGGCTCCTTGCATGTGCACTGAATGAGGCCCGAGGTGACATCCTTCACAGGGCTGTGCCACTCCTCAAGCCACACAGGGGACAAGCAGCAGGGTAGCTGGAATCAAACGTCGCCGTAAAGGGTGAGAGGTGCAAAGCGCTCTGTGTGTCACTCTGTCAGCCCTACGGCAGTGTCTGGTTGTCACTGGCAGGGAAGAGGGGATGTCAGGTGTTGAGTGCTTTGTGAGAATCCTAAGCCAGGAGAGTCTAAGAATGTCCCTGACTTGAAATTGTGCCACTGTCCACAACATTTAAAGTATCTTTCCAAGGGTTTGTTTAAAATTCCAGGTCTTGCGAGGTAGCAAGTCCCCCGATGAAAAGACCCCCACGCTGGACACAAAAGCACTGTTAGCACCATAGAACACGGAGAAAAGGCAGTGAACAGCAGACACCCAGCCAGCTCTCCCTCTCCAGTTCAGGTGACTCTGGGAACGCTGATACTGCTTGATGATCTCGGATGGGGAGGAGGCCTGAAAGAGAGGGCTGGGGCCACCTGGGATGGCCTGGAGCTCACTGCAGATGGCGGGGAGGAAACCACCCAAAAAGAGAGCAACAAGAGCTGGGCACAGTGGCCACATCTGTTGTCCCAGCTACTGCAGGAAGTTCGAAACAGAACTTTGGTCCAGGCTGCCCTGGGCAAAAAGTGAGACCCTATCTCTAGAATAACCAGAGGAAAAAATGGCTGGGGTGTGGTTTAAGCAGTAGAGCATCTGTCTAGCAAGTGCAAAGCCTGAGTTCAAACCCCAGTAGTGCCAGAAAAGAAAAGGAAAAAAGAGAGAGAACTTGTGCTGCTTCTCACTGGTCAATTGAGTCGGAGGACTCAGCCCCACGAGCACAGAGGGCAAGGGGCTGGACTTTCCAGAAGGAATGGGATGCTGAGCACACCACCTGCTCTTTGAAACCCAGGTCCAACGCACCCTACCCACCTCTGCACGCCTTCAACCAGCGCCACCTCATCTGGTGAGGACGAGATGTACACACAGGACTTCCCTGAGTCTGGCGATTTCCCAGGGCCATCCCCATGGTCCATTTGATCATCGTCTTTCACTTGGACGGTGTGGCAGAGGCAGAGAGCCCGGAAAAACAGCTCCTCCCTCTCCTGTTAAAAAGCAAGCAAGAAAAACCTACAGTGTGTCTGCTGGGATGGGAGGAACACAGATAAGAGCACAGTCAGGAGGGGCACGGTCTTTAGTGTCCTGATGGTCACAACAGAGTCCATGCATGGCTAGCTCCATCCTCCAGGCTTCCGGGTAACCACGTGAGTTTAACGGGCGATGGAGACTAGAGGAATAGGCTCAACTCAGGAAAAGAGGCACAGCTGAGTGCACTTAGGAAGGGCAAGCAAATGCTTGGTGTTTGGGAGGTCACGGTGGGGGAGACTGAGTCACACATGTGATCCACACTGACATTAACAAACATGCTGACATTGTTATTCCTAACCTGGTGCCATGCTCTCCTAACAGCAATGAGCACCACACCCCACAGGACTGAAGCACCTGCTGTGCACCTGCACCTAAAAGTCAACGTCAACACGACCTTCTAAGCAGGAGCCGTTATCCCCACATTGCAACTGCGGGAATTCGTATTAGGAAGAAGGGATGTACTCAGGGTCAACCATCAGGCATGGCTTCCTCCATGCTGCAGTCCAGGGGCCTGGAGATTCCTGGGAGCCTGCGTGTAGCCTGGCAGCAGAGGAAGAGCTCGCCTGACACCCAGTGTGCATGGTGGGAGCTGGGGTGAGTGGAGGGTGTGGATATACCAGGGTAGGTCAAAGGACTGCTCCTCTCTCTCCTTTTGTGATAAAATGGCAGCTGCTGCACCGACACCAACTGTGCTCACGTAAGAGAGACGCAGTGTCCTGGTTGTGAGGGGGTGACCACACAACCCACCAAACAGGTCACCTCCAGTTCTTGGTGGACCCCAGCAGGGCTCTGCAGTCAAGACATGTTTGATAACAAAGTGTCCAGACAACCAGCGCAAGGGTTAGAGCCCTGCATAGATGCTGAGGTCTAGGGCCACAGATCTAGGGCCACTTAGGGTAGGGGATGGGAGCACAGCTATGTGCCTGTATGCACGCGTATATCTATATGTGCGTGCACGTGTACTGTGTCTGCACAGATTGCTCTCCACACATGGCCAGCCCTGCCTGTCCGGTGTCTAAGTCAATTCTAGTGTGGGAATCGCTGTCCCAAGGGGACATGGTGGCCTCTGAGACCTCATGTCTGTCCCATAGGGGATTCCTATCTTTCCCAGACACCCGGAATGAAAGAGGACACTTTTGGGGAGGGGGAGAGCACACACACATTCTCATCCAACACTGTGGCACGTCTGTGCCCTGACGGGGAGCGTGACCTACCCGCCCACTGACGCCTGGGGAAGAGTCGATCATGTCGATGCCGGAGGCGTCGGGGAGGACCTGCCCGTTGCAGATGACGTGCGGCACGTGGACATGGCCCTCGATGCAGCACTCCTTGAAGGCCATGTTGTTCTCTGTGAGGGTGCCCGTCTGTCCGTGAAGATGTACTCTACCTGTGGGCCCAGCACACGCAGTGAGGCTCTGCACACTCAGCCTCTCACCAGCACCCGTTAGGATTCTACTGGGACATGGACTTCCCCCAACACACACCATGCCAAGGGTGGGTGTCCACTGCTACCCTTGCCACCAGACAGGGGTCACTGGAGGAAGAGAGGAGGCCCTGCTTTCCTCACGTTGGTGACGGGTGCACAACAGAGACGAATGTGGCCTTCCCTCCAGGAAGCCAAGTTCCCTGCGTTTGGGAAGAGCAGGGCAATGGGAAATCCTGAACCTCACTGAACAATAAAAAGCTGGGATAGAGTGTTAGAATGTTCTCTCTAAGGCCTGCGGCAAGTCACAAGACCACGGAGGTTAGGACACGGGACCCAGATGGAAAGGACAACACAACACTTCAGAGAGCAACTGAGAGTGGAAAGGTGCATCCAGCTTAAACCCTAAGTTCAGGCAACACGCAGGTTGCATTTCAGAATGAAGAGCTGATGGGAAGCGTGTCTGGGCCACGCCACCAGCCGGAGGTGGATGCGGCTGGGTGACGGGCACACAGCTCCAGGGATGGAAGGCGAGCTGTGTGGGGAGCTGGAAGGAAGCACACGGGGCCAGAGAGGACCCACCCATGTGCTCTACTGGGTCTTCCAGGAACGTGTTCCCACAGAGCCACAGCAGAAAGTGCCCCACCACTGTGTGTATGGCTGCAACAAATAAACCATAAGGTCACAGCAATGCTGTTTGAATGCCAGCCCAGTGGAACCTCTTCCACATCACACAGCCAGGGCAGGCTTTGGGCCACATCCCTGAGAGCCCTGCAGGACCTCAAGTCCAGTGAACAGCTCCTCAACTGCCCACCACTGTGTGTATGGCTGCAACAAATAAACCATAAGGTCACAGCAATGCTGTTTGAATGCCAGCCCAGTGGAACCTCTTCCACATCACACAGCCAGGGGCCAGGGGCTTTGGCCACATCCCTGAGAGCCCTGCAGGACCTCAAGGTCCAGTGAACAGCTCCTCAACTGGTGTCAGTGTGAGCATCAGCAATCACAGGACATCTCAGATGCCCATACTTCCAGACACCCAGGCTCCTGCAGGACAAGCAGCTACCAGACTTCCCCTGGGTCAGCAAAGGAAGGCTTGACAAATCCCTGCACTGCCTTTTTACACAAGACTTGAGGTAATTTAGGATGAAGAATTATTACATCCTAAAGCCATTTTTATTTTTATTTTTTTTTTTTCTGTGAATTTTATGTTTTTTTTTTTTCATTTTTCTTTTATTATTCATATGTGCATACAAGGCTTGGTTTATTTCTCCCCCTGCCCCCACCCCCCTTACCACCCACTCCACCCCTCCCGCTCCCCCCTCAATACCCAGCAGAAACTATTTTGCCCTTATTTCTAATTTTGTTGTAGAGAGAGTATATGCAATAATAGGAAGGAACAAGGGGTTTTCTGTTGAGATAGGATAGCTATACAGGGCATTGACTCACATTGATTTCCTGTGTGTGGGTGTTACCTTCTAGGTTAATTCTTTTTGATCTCACCTTTTCTCTAGTTCCTGGTCCCCTTTTCCTATTGGCCTCAGTTGCTTTTAAGGTATCTGCTTTAGTTTCTCTGCATTAAGGGCAACAAATGCTAGCTAGTCTAAAGCCATTTTTAAAAGGATAAGTGGATAAGAACAAAATTAACGTTAAGCTTGGTTTATCAACCTGCTTAGGCACAGCCAAGTAGGCAGCCTATTTCTAGAGACTATGACCGTGACAATTAATGACAATAAAAACGTAATTATCATACACACATATCGAACTTTCAGCATGAGGCACACACTGGGCATTTTTACCTCATTAATCCTCACATCGACAGTGTTATCACCCCAGTTTTACAAACCTGGAAACAAAGACAAAAAATGCTGGATGCTAATGGAACTGGTTCTGTTCGCCAGGGACACTGTTCTGGTATGACCAGACCTGCCTGTGGGAGTCTCTGATTTATTTTTCAGAGAGTTTGTGATTGTTTAGAAATGTGACTGACTTCACATCCTTCATCTACACTGAATCTTGTTACTGGTTCTAACAGACTTTGGTGAAGGCTTTAGGGTTTCCTACAGGTGACATCTACAGGGACAGGTTATGCCCTGCCTCCCTGTTGGGATATCCTTTATTTCTTTCTCCTGCCCAGTTGCTCTGCTGGGGCTTCCAGGGCCGTGCTGAGCAGCAGTTCTGAGACCAGGCGTCCTCTGATCTCAGAGGAAATGCTTCCAGTATTCCTCCACACTTATGAACCTTTGGCTGTGGGCCTGCCTCATGTGGCCTGTACTGTGCTAGGGGACATTCCTTCCACATCTAATTTGTTAGGGAAGGATGGAAGGAGGCTGGCTTGTGTCAAATGCCATCTCTGCACAGAACACGGTCAAATGGTTTTTGTCCTTCCTTCCGCTGATGGGCTGTGTCATGGCTACTGATTTGTATATGCTGACCCATCTGGCATCCCATGGATAAATCCCACTGATTAAGGCAAGTGACCTTTTCAGTGGACAGTTGGATTTCTGTGCTAGTGTTTCGCTGAGGACGTTTGCATCTATGACAGTCAGGGACACGGGCCAGTGCTCTTTTTCTTTCTTGAGTGTAGTAGTCAACACAAGTCAAGTGCTGATCAACGCTGCAATCACCTTCAGTGCTCAGAACAGAGGTTTGCTCCACAGCCTGCAGCAAGACCGCACACAGGGACCTGAACTCGGAGGCAGCACAGCAAAGCTTTCAAGCCTCAGTTTCTCCTTTGGGAAATGGAAGCGGTGGTACCCACCTCACAGAGCTCGACAGGATTACATAGGAAAACACACCAGCTGTGTGGGGCACAATCCCTGTGGAAGGTGGTCGTTGCTGCTGTGGACACAGACACGTGGTGGCGGGGAGGCTCCTGTTTCATAGGCAGAACTATCTTACTTGCTACATACGGGCAGTCAAGTGGAATCCTTGCTTTGTGGGCTTGCCCATCAGACCTGACCTCAGTGGGCCCCACTTCCCCTGACTCTGACAACTCTGTCTCTGGCTGCACCCTGGCTTTGCTCGGGAGAGCAGCACAGATCACATCTTATCACAATGAACTCCAGGTAGGGGACAGGCAATCTGTGGCACCAAGCAGTGCTCCCAGTGAACTTCTCAGGAATACACAAAACAGACCAGGCACTGTGAGGTAAAACGCCTCAGTCCTGTGCACCTCAGCCCTCTCCTGGCACTACTGCCTGAAACAGCCCATCCTGAGGGATGGGGAACACATCAAAGTCAGACCTGCCAAAAGACAAAGTCTTTGCTTTTGGTAACATGCTTCTTCTCTAGAGGTCATGGCTGCCGTGTGTGAGAGTCTACCCAGCCAGTTCCAGATTGGTATTGGGTGACAGATGAGGATCCTTTTTAAAGAGTAATGAAGCAACACTTACCAAATGGCCTTTTACAACATAAAGGCTGGGAAGGGGTCAGACTAGGGTGGCCTAGGACCACCCTTGAGGCCATGTAAGATAGAAAGGACCGGCTTTTCTGTGGCTCCGTTGTCCTGTGAGCAACACTGAGTGTCTGCGTGGTGGCAGGTGTGGATGCACATCAGCCCTGCTCTCACACTCTGGGGACCCTGCAGCTATAGGTGGGGTACAGGTGGCAGCAGCAGCAACCCTCATCTGTGGTGGGCGCCTCCCATCCACTATCTCATGTCATCAGCACCACGGTCTGGCCAGGTCCCCACTGCACAGGCATGAAACCTGAGGTGTAGAGACGAGGTTGTCTGCCCAAGCTGAGGCTGTCACTGAGGACTGGCGTTTGAACGGGTGTCCTGAACTCTTTGCAACATGCCACGTCACGGAAACTCTCTCAAGTCTCTATTTGCCTGTCTTTACAGGGAAGAAACCTAGCTCGCTGTGAGGATTAAATATTGCATAGAAAAAGGAGGGCAGGCACAGGGGAAAGGTGACACGTGGATCCTCAGCGACCTGTCACTCACAACGGTAAGGCCCAAAACGAGTAAGAAAGTCCAGGGGTGAGCTATACAAGTCAGCTAATGCAATGAACTTGACATATGCTACCATCGCCAACTGTTATGCAAATAAAGTCCAAAACCAACCCTGCTGCTGTCCTTCCTGGTTACAGGTGTATTTAAACACATGCGTTACAATGGAAAAGGTGTCATCTGATCTCTGGATGACTCACCTGAGCAGCAGTAACCAGGGGACCCAGAAGCCTGCACCAGCGCAGGACTAATCAATTATGGAAATGCTTCGGGAGACACCAACCTGTCCCAGCTCCTCATTTAGGTCCGAGGTGTTGACCAGGGGCCCTTCCCCTGTCTCCTCATCAAACATGTCTTCATCCCAGGTGATAAAGTAAGAACCCAGGAACTTCTGCATCTCCACGGTGACATACATGGACACAGGGATGATATAGTTGAAGAGGACCATGAAAGCCAGGAAGTCCGTGAAGGCCCTGAGAAACTGAGAGCGGACTGCATTAGCAAGCCGCAGATCGCACGGCAAGTTCTGAAAGCATCAGACTTGGGCATGGGAACACAAGGATTTCAAAATCCCAGGGTGAGGATTATCTGGGGGGTGGTGCAGGCACTAGCCTGTCTTGCCCTACCCCAGATCAAGAGCTGAGCTGCATGGCTGCACTGTCAGAGGGGTGAGCATAATAAAATAGCCGCACTACCCAGGCAGGAAGCCAGGCTGACTAGGGTCCAAAGAGACCGTCACTTCTGAGTACTCATGACCTCCCTCTGTGACTGACAAATTATCAAACCTGCTAAGAAAGAACCAGTAAGATACCCAAAATAAAAAAGCCTGGTAAAAATGACTTTTCTGTATAGTCGTATTCCTGTGTTTGAAGCCATATTAGGCTGTTAAGTTTTAGGGAGGGGCAGGCTGACTCAAAAAGCAAATTCTTGGGACATGGGTCTGGGTAGCATACAGCCTTGCTCTGCCCCCACTGCTGTAGGACTGGGCTTGCACATGGCTCTGCTTTGCCCTCGGTGCACAGGACTGACTGGGTAGCAATGGCCTTGCACTGCCCTCAGTTACCCACAGGCTGGGCTTGCACAGGCCCTTTTGTTCACATATGCACCTTTTGTGCCAGTCACTAGTAACTATTCACTAAGCACCCTGTAAACAGAGGACACCGTGCTGGGTTTTACAGACAACAGAAGAATTTCAGTCACAGCTCTTCTGTATTTCCTACAGGCACCAAAGCATCCCAGGCTTGTACATTCTCAGACACAAGGCCAGCAGGAACAGGGGCCTCTGCGGTCACTTGTAAGGATCAGTGAGTGTGTGAAGCATTAGCCCTGCAGCAAATTCACCATCACTGTTTTCTGGTGCCATTTTTTTTTGTAACAGCGGCCTACCGGTCACCTCAGATCATGTAAGAGAGTGGGTTTTCCTACCAGATTCCTCTGTCTCTCTGACTCGGTTTTCTGGTTATACCAGGGCTCGTCTCGGAAAGGCTCGCTCTGCCACACATACTTCAGGACGGTGTTTATCAAGGCCTTGCTGATCAGGATGCAAAGGTACACGATGAGGAATGTGTTCATCGACCTGGACACAGAGGGAGGTGACTATCAGGAGCTACTCCCTGAGCAAATGCCTGCCCTTCCACGCAGACTCAGGACTTCGCTCGGTGATGAGCAGTAAAGGCAGGTGGCACCTGGCCTCACGCAGTGGGAGGGGCTGGGAGGACAGAGTCACAGAGGGATGGTTCACCAGCAGGAGAGAAGCTGTGAAAAGCCATACTAGTTAGTGACAACCTTTACCGTGCGTCTGGAACTCTACCACTTAAAAGAACACCTAGCCAACTTCTTCTACCATGCAGCCTGAAAAAGTAAGTCCAAAATGAGTGACTACCTCCTGGAGGACAGGGGACAGCAAAGTGAGTACCCTGGGTGGGACGCCCATGGGTGGAAGAATCCAATCCTTAACCCAGGTGTTGCAGATTTGGGAAGCAGTTCTGCTTTCTACTGTCTGCTCCTGAATCCATCTGTCATATGCAGAGGTCTGGATGCAAAATTCATGAAAAGCCAGTCTCCACCTTTACACCTGATGGAGACACAGGCCACAGAGGCCCAGTGACACCAAGTCTAAGTGCACAGGCAAGTCCACCACAGACAGGCCAAGCCTCCTAGGTGGTCAGTGACTAGCACACAGCTCCACTTGGCAGTGTGGAAACCACTCGGCTATCCACCTCAAGCAAGGATAAACTTTAACAAGGGCCAAAGAAGATCACCCCCCGGCTACATTTCTTACAGACCCAGCCATCACCCTAACATGCTGTCATAAGGATTTACTATTTAGCGAAGAGACCACCTGTTCTACTAAGGTTCTCAGTAAAACCAAAGCAGGAAGTGCTGGCTTCCACAAGGCTCCTGGGATAAAGTGACCCCATTTGGGGCTGAAAGTGGTACAGTGCTTGCCTAGGCCCTGAGTTCAATCACCAGTACCCTCAAAAGGGACCCCATGAAAGCGACTGCATGTATTTGTAGTGGGGTGTCTGTGAAAGACCTAGGAACCAGGACCTTGGACAGTGGCTGAGAGGCCACGTGTCTGCTGGCCACTGGGTATTAACAGTAAGATAAGGAGGCACATGGCTATTTACCATGCCAGTAAAACAAAGTCCACCTGAATTATCTGTAGTCAGTGTGACAGTGGGTCTCTAGACCCTGGAGGAAGGGAGTGACCCAGGAGGAACAGTGCCCTGTTTATAGCGATGCCTGTAAGTCAGTAACCGGGTAGGAGCCTTACTTTTCCACAGCAGACCGCTTCTGGGACTTCGACTGATAGTTCAGGGCCATCTTAGTCTCCATGCCTGTGTAGATTGCTACACCTGGAAGGAGAAGAGAGCGTGAGGACAGCACAGACACATCTTGGCCTCATGCTCACACTCCACACAGCCATGGAATTTACGTGTCCCATTCCTCTAGGGAAGTGAGCTGTCATGGGATGGGAGTCTCCACAGCGAGGACTTTCCTCCTGCATAAAAAGCAATTCGGACTTTGTTTTTTCTAGTCCAGTTTTCAATAGAGTAGATTTTCTGACAGTGGGGCACATTCGTGTATTTTAAAAAGCTGTCTCCTTTAATTAAAACATAGGAAGCAGTACCTAGAAACGGGAGATGAGCAAAGACCCGAACACCTAAAGTTCTGCAGAACCGGGTTTTGCAATTCCTTTGTGGATTAACCTCCTGTTCTGTGCCACGTACTATGGGCACTTAACGGGCAAGCCGTAGTCTCTGGTGTCACTGTCCTGGACTTCAGTTAGCCATCAGTGAGGCGGTGTCACTACTGCCGTGAAGTCTGGGGCACTCATACACACGACACTGCTCTGACCACCACTGCGAATTTTAGGTTTCTTACTGCAGCCTTATTTTAGAAGCTATTATTACTGACCCACTAATTGATATATTTACCGAAGATCTTCTCCGTGTTCTTGAGTTTGGCTCCTCTGAGAAGCAAGTTTTCTGATCCCAGGGGCCTGTGAAGACAGGGAGGACCCAAGCAGCGTGATGAAACACAAGACACTGATGGAAAGCAGCCCAGCCGTCTCAGAGACCTGTCTTCAGACTCAGCAACTCCAACGCAAATCTGCCCTCCTATTGACCTTGCTAGGCTAGCCACGTCTGCGTGGAGCCTGTGGGCTCTGCCCAGGGTGGAGACGTGGCTTGCTGGGCCCAGCTCCAGTCCTCTGTCTCCTGCGGCCATCACAGTGTCCAAGGGGCCTGGGAGAAAGCCAAATCCCAGGCCTCTACCTGGAGCCTAAATGTTTCAATGGTGTTCCCGCCACAGGGATCTTTCCAGTGAGGTCCCCACCAGTGGCACCCGGGGACATGTCAGAAACTTCACCCCAGCCTACTGCATCAGAGACTCCGGGGGGGGGGGGCGGGCAGCAAGCCTCTCCTCTGCTAGGGAGCCCCAGAATGCTTTGGAAACACTGAAAGCTCGTTTCATTCAGCCTACAGCCATGTCTGTCACATCTTCATGAGGCTCAGCAGTCCCACTGATGCATCCCATCTTAAGGGTGAAGAGCCAGGTCACCCAGGCTCTGTGAACCCTAATAGTCGAGCTGCAGACTATCTGTAAGCAGGTGGCTGCAATCCACGCCTGGTTACCCCAGGGGACAAGCCAAGCACCTTAAGAGCCAATCCTTAAAGAGTCAGTGCCATTCTAGGCTCCAAACACAGCGAAGGGCAGACACAGACGCTGCAGTGAGGGGCTGCAGAGCCCCTTGCTGATGGAAGCACCATTTCTTCTCATTTCTCTAGCAGGGAAGGACAAACAAGAAGTAGGATTCAAATGTACAAATTTGCTATTGCTAACATGCTAATACTCTCTCTGGAGAGCAGAAGGAAAGAGGTGAAAACATTTGTATTTAATCTCCTTTTACTGTGGACAGTCGTCATACACCTAACATGAGCTCAGTGTATTTGGGTGATGCAGCTCAGTCAGCACCCAGCTGGAGGCAAGGCAGGGAAGAGGCAGGGAGGAGGCCATGAGCTGCCCGGGGCATCGCGCAGAGGCGCGGCTGGGGCTCGCAGCTGGCCGCCTGCTCCCTTGGTCTGACAGCCACTAAAGATGCAGCGCCCTGGGTTGCAGGGGGCTGTCAGCTTCTGTTAGCAATGTGCTTATGATAACTCTTGTCACAAGCGTTGACGAAAACAAATGGCCCATTCAAAATGGGTCTCTGAGAAGTCTAAAAATAAGTAACTTGACGAAGAACTCTGCGTCTAGATTGGACAGGAGAAGAAATAGAAGTGAATGGATTGAGAACCTGGATGGACCACTTATAACATCCAAACCTTTTCATCCAATTTGTACATTTCCAGCTGGGTGCCTGTAATTCTACCTACTCAGGAGGCAGAGATTAGGAGGACTGTAGTTCAAAGCCAGCCCAAGCAAATAGTTTGGAGACCCTATCTTGAAAATGCCCAATACAAAAAAGGGCTGGCAGAGTGACTCAATGGTACAGTGCCTCAAACACTGGGGTCCTGAGTTCAAGCCCAAGTACTTGGAAAAAAAAAAAGTCTCCTACTTTAGGGGCTGGCGGTTCAAGTGGTTGAGTGCCTGCCTAGCAAGCGTGATGTCCTGAGTTCAAACCCCAGTACAGCCAAAAAAACAAAAGCCAACAATTTATGTATTTCCAGCATTTTATAAATATCCTTAAAAATCTGAAAGTTAAGTTTACTGAAGCGTGTAAATATTAAAAGGTGAAGTTAGAGTAATAGAGCGCCTTAGTGACCATCCTCCCACCTGCTGGCAGTAAGCTCAGTCCTGTGGAAAGTCCAGAGTCAGCTCGCTCTTCAGACCCATCCCACCGGCAACAGGGATAAACCTAACCCACTCACTCATTCAAACAAAGGAAGCCAGGCATGGTGGGGCACACTTTTAATCCCAGCTACTCAGGGAAGCAGAGACAGAAGGACCATGGGCTGGAGGCCAGCCTGGGCAAAAGTTATTGAGATCCTATCTCAAAAACAACATACAAACAAAAGGGCTGGCGATGTGGATCCTGTGGTAGAATACCCACGTAGCATGTGTGAAGCCCTGGGCTCAATCCCCAGGACCGAAAAAAACAAAAACCCACCACCAAGTAGTTCTCACAACACAGAAATGCAAGCAACCGATTCACCAGAGTAAGCAGGAACTGAGCTTTGGAATAATATATGCTCAAGAAAACCACACAGTGCTTCCCAGCGTCCCACCCTCCTGCTGATGGACACTGAGGCCGGAACAGCTGAGCAGACAAACCGCTTCCTTAGAGTGATCGCTCCCCAGCTGCACGAGGAGCAAGCCCCAGGACTGACACATCAGTAACTATTTGTTGGCAGAAGTTTCCCATTGAGTTTGCTTCTAGTTCTAGGCAAATGTTTTCCTTAACATGCAATGCAGCAGGACAGCCACAAGACGGCTCAAACCTCCAGAAAAGGTCATTTCTCTACCAAGTGGACTAAAAGCCAGTTTCCTGGACTGTAAAAATCACATCCCTCCTGGGCAAATCGCTACAAATGTTGAAACAATGTCAGATAAATACGCCTGGCAGGGGACATCTCAGGGTGGTGCCCAGGATCGTCACTTGGTGGCCCAGGGCTGGACAGGCCATCTGACAGCCACTCTGTCCTGGTGGACGTGTGTGTGTGACTGCAGCTGCTGACACAGAGACAGTGCAGCCGCCCATCGTAACTCTGACCAGCAACAGCTGCCCACCTTTCCAGATGGTCACCAGCCGGACTGTCCCTCAGCAAGACCTGCCCTGGTGACAACCGAGAAACGACTAATGCATTCTGGTAAATGGTCTCTGAACTGGAAACCTCCCAACCTCACAGCCGACGTCCTATCTGCAGTCACTCACGAGACGGCATTTCCCAGGGGGCACTGGGCCCTGATCTCTGCCCGGGTATTGTCCTGTGGGCTCCTGACAGGGCCTGTCCTGGGAGGCCATGCTCGGAGCAGTCTGGTGAGAGAGGTTCTAAGGAGAATCAGAAAGCTAACACACAGACGTGCACCCAGGAGAAAAGGCAGACAGTGTGGCCTGTGCTCTTGTGAGATGGAACCCACTTTCAAAACTGAACAGAGCAGCAATGAAGAACAATCTTCTAAGGCAACAACGGAGAGGAACAGGCCGGGGGTCCCAAGAAGACTCACCTCACCACAGGGTCGTTCTGGTCATTGTAAACATTGATGCGCCCCACGAACCTGGTAACAGAAAAGCCCAGTTACTGACTCCCGACCCCAACAGGTCCCTCCCGACATGAGCTATGGCCAGGTGGACCCAGCTCTGCACTGCATCCCACCCTGGGCTCTCTTTCTTACTTCCTTGCCCGTGGCTCAGATGGTCCTCCTCACCCCAAAGTACACGAATTACTTCCTCAAAGCCAAGGGAACTTAGTCTTTCTTCCAGAAATTTAATGTCATTAAGCCACTTCAAGTATTCGTGTAAGAAGCTACAGGTGTGGATGCTGCGAGTCTGTGGAACCCATGACCCACGTCAGCTGGGTCTCCACGCTCGAGCGGGAACACATTCTCTCCAAGCCGCGCTCGCTTACTTGTAGAGGTCAGGCTGTGGCTGCTCGCACTCAATGGTGGCGAGAAGTCCGTCCACGTCCTCTTCTGCATGGAAGCCCTTGGTGTCCTGTACCGCATAGTGAGTCTGCAGGTGGACGGAGAGTGAGTTCACACCCAAGCCTCAACTCCAGCCTGGCTGTGTGTGTCTCCCTCCACCTCCAGGGGCTGCTGTGGGGTTTGGTTTTGGGGCACTACAAAGCCTGGAGACCCCCGTGTAAGACAGGGAGTTTGTGAATGCTGAATATACAAACAGGCAAGGCACTCTGTTAGTCCCTCACCTGTGGGGTGCCAGGACCTCGAACTCTCCACGCCTACCCTGTGTAACCCAGCAGGACAAAGAGCGAGCCTGGAGATTCTCCAACACCAGACACTGCAACGTGTCTGTGCTGGCAGCGGCTGTTGTTAGGAACAGGATTCAGAGACTGAACGCTTCTTTCTTTCTTTCGTTCTTTTTTGTTTGTGGTTCTGGGGTTTGAATTCAGGGCCTCATACCTGCTAGACAGGTGCTCTTACCGCGTGACGTACTCCACCACTCTAAACTCTTCTTTAATACGAAGCCTGGGGAGCTACCAGAGGCATGACTTTGTTTCTCTGCCCCAAACTGCCCTCCCCGTCACTGCTGGGCCAGCCCAGGTTCTGCACACACAGCTGTTCAGGGTCCTCGAGCTGGTGTCTATCAGAAGCACCTGGAGGCTGCAGGGACGCCCTCACACTCTCCACTCAGCGGGTCTGGGCACGGCCTGAGAACCACGTTTCTAAGTGGATCCTAGGTGACAAGGTGCTGTTGCCTGGGTTCACAGGGTGACACCCACTAGCCTAGACAGCACGTGTAAGCGGGAACAGGTAGATGTGCCTCAGGACGAGAGGAGAGAAGGGTGCACGTCCAGGGCACTGAGTGGGCAACTGCATCTTCTCCCGGGCTTCTTTTAATAATGAAGCCCTGGACAGCGAGCGTGCAGTGAATCCAAGTGAAAAGGAGTGACCACCACACTAGGGCTCTTGCCGTGTAAATCTTCTAATCATACCCTCACCAGAGCCCCTGAAAGACAGGCCTGTCCCCATTTTACACATGGGTAAGTCTGGGCGGGGGAAGAAGCCGCCTGAGGTCACATGAGCAGCAAAGGACTCCAAGGAGGTGGAGGTTGGCTGGAGCCTCCCCTGTCTTGCTCTGTCTTCAAGGGAAGGGTTCATTGAACTCCAGTCCTCAGAACCCAGCCAAGTGAACCGCAGAGAGCACAGTCATAATGCAAATATGGCAGGAGCCAGCGTGCAGCAACAACTGCAATGCCCTCAGCTCTGGGCGAGGGCAATGGCCACTAGGTTCCATCCCCAGGTTGTGGAACACAGCCACCCCTCTGCCAACAGAGCATGAGAGGCTCTGAGGTCACAGGACAGTTGGACCCTGACCCCCTCAAGCTTATAATAAATCCCTGAGTCACCCAGGGACTCCCTCGCCCAGAAGTACTGCTGCTTACAACTGCTCGGGCTGACTGTCAGTTCTCTTGGGACATGCTTCTCACAAAAGGTAGCAGGCCTTCCTACAATGACACCATAAACTATTCATATGCTTTGGTGATTGTGTATAGAAAGTCTCTCCCATGTTAGAAACTGCCTCGATCCACAGGCATCACCTGGGCAGTTTCAGAGCTGCTATGAAAATGAACTACACTCACTCTCACAATCTCCGAGAATTTCCAGGTACTTTAGGCAAAAAACCCTGAAAATTAACAGTGCTGTATTTGTCCTCTTGTGAAAAATTCTGCAGCAGCAGCTGTTGGCGTAGAATTAACGATAGCTTCAGAAAACCCTTTAATGACATTCTAACAAAAAAACACTTGTTGCAGTAAAAGTAGGCAAAATCTGTGATTGTGTGTGTGACTTTTCACATAATTCTATACTAGAAGAGACACTAACTTTGACCAGTAAAGTGGAATTAAACCTTTAAAATTCCAAAATCTATGACCCAAGCTAAAATGGCAGTTGTTTCTGTTCCCCTGAGCTGTGTGACATTGAGGGTGGAAAGAAACAGAAAATAGGGAAAGCAAAAGCTAGGGGGATCCTGGCGGGTGCAACCCAGGGAAGTTCCCTGCTGCCTGAAAGAAGTCTGTGCACAGATGTGACACGCAGCCAACAGCTTGGTATGGCTGCCGAGACCCCAAAACGTGCCCCAAACCCAGGCCCATACTTTATGGCTGGATTCTCCATCTAAGCTGGCGGTGGTGACGTGGCAGGTCCCATCTGCCCGATTGCTGGAAAGGAAGATCAAGTCACAGGGAAAGGTCTCGTCCTCCTTGACCATAACAATGTCCCCGACCTGCAGGACAAAGAGAAAGGGCATCACCAAGAGGCCCCGCCGCAGGACAGCAGCCCATGCTGGGTTTCTTCCCTCCGCAGTGTCCAGTCCACACTGAGACACTGTCACCGTGTTTTAAGGGCTGGGACAGGGACACTGACATGAGTCAAGAAAAGGCCCCCTCGAGACTTTCTGCTGAAACAAGGAAACCCCGCTGGGTCTTTGGGACCCACATTTGAGAACTCCCAGGACAGAATGTGTTACAATAAAAACACAGACCTCCCCAACAAGATTACTGTTGACTCAAAGCAGGCAGGAAGAGTTCTGGTGTTTGCTGAAGTGACCGAGTGAGAAGTGTCCCTTTGGAGGATGTCAACTGGACTCTGTGCTTTACAAAACAGTGATCCCTGAACACCAAAAGTCAGTATGGTCCTGGCTACCACAGTATGACTGACAGGCAGCTGTGCCCCGCGTGGACTTCCATATAAAACGCACTTGCCCAGCTTTACATCTGTACTATTCCATGTCATCGCCAACGAGGGTGTCTTCATGAGAGGTGGGGGGAGGGGGTCTTTCTCCTCCACTGTGACATGGATTGTGGTCAGGAAGGTAAATGATTACCAAACCCACATGGTGAGTGGCTCAAGCTGGCCAGTAAAGGCTGCAAGGTGTCCCGTCCCTATCACGTGAACAACCTTGCTGACCCGAGCAGCATGCCCAGTCAGGACATCACAGCTCCCATCTACCCGAAAAATGAGGTTTACCACACATCATGGGCAAGACTGAGAACTTTAAAATCACAGGGTTACTGCCCCCAAATGGACCATCAAATCCCAGCAAGGATTGTGAGACGCAGATACACTTACTAGTGTGAGTGCAAATGGAAAGGCACAGGCCTTGGACAGCCAGGACAGTCTGGAAGGAGTGGACTGCAGTGGGGGAGCCAGGCGAGGAGGGCAGGAGACCACACAGCCCAGCAGGCAGCAGTGAGGTGCTGCTAGGGATGGGACCCAGTCAGTGGAACAGATGTTGATGCAACAGACCAAAAATGACCTTCGACTTAAAACGTCACGTCTTGTTTAAAACCTCATTCAAAATGTAAGGCATGGAACGAGAAAACACTTAGGAAAAAACGCAGGAGCAAATCCTTGGGTTCCGGGGCTAGCAATGGCTCTCAAGCATGGAAAGACAGAAAGGAAGAAGATGGACTCGAGTGAGTTAAAAACTTCTGCTTCTCGGAATACCTTGTGAAGGGTGTTACATGTCACCTCACAGAATAAAAACTCTCAACTACCCACGAGCACAGGGTAAATAAAAGAGGAAGAAGCACTTTGCACGGGGTTACCAGATGGTGAATGAGCACCCAGGAAAACAAGCAGCACAGACAGTCATAGGAAAGCAGGCCCAAATCACGGCGACGCCAGAGGCGCCATGGGCTGGGGAGGAGGCCAAACAGCCACTCGCACACTGGTGCGAACATGGACCAGCAGCCACTCTGGAAGGTGCTGGGCAGCAACTCTTAAACCTAAACATGGCCTCTAGATACAGCCAGCAGCTGAGCTCACGAGCTTTTAGGCCAAAGAAGTGAAATCTACCTTCTCTCAACACCCTGTACACAAAATGTTCACAGCAGGCTGTATGAAATACCCACATCTTCCACCTGTGAGTGTTGCACTGTGCCAGGTGCACACCAAGGACAGAATTCAGCAGCAAGGAGGGAGGGGCTGTGGCTACATGAGATACAGGTGAGGCTAGGGGATGGGGCTGAGTGAAAAGGCCCACCCCAAAAGGACAGACTGATTCTGACTGCAGGACCTTGAAAAGAACAAATCTTAGAAAAGGACCACACTGGGGGCCAACAGAAAGACCCTATTACTGCTTACAACCACGTGACTCTAAAATCATCCAGAATAAAACTCAAGAAAGGAAAACAAATTGGCCCTGGGGAAAGGTACAATTTCCTCAGGACCTCTTGTGCACGCACAGGCTGAGGCACCACAGTGAGCGGGGCTGGGGATAGGCCCCAGAAGACCCTAGTCTTCTCTGGCCTGTCAGATCAGATGCGCCAAGCAGGCAGGCCTGGAGGTCAGTGCATGGAGCATTCACTTCTCTGCAGAAGACACTAGAGCTGGTTCCTAAGGATGCTTATCTAAAAGTGAAGGAAATGTAAGCATTACAGACAGCTGTGCTGAGCCTCAGATTTGATCTGTCCACGTGGATGTGATGCCCAGCTGTTTTTCCCAGCCATGGTATTGGCTGCTCCCAGCTCAGTGTCTCTCTGACCCCTGGACAACTGGGAAAACACCCCCAAGCTGAACCACCAGAAGGAAGTTCTCTAAAGAGGCTGTTCAGAAACAACCAGGCACACAGTAATGTACTAACACTGAAAGAGGAATGAGGCTAACACACAGACACACACAGACTGAGGACACAGCTGTCCTAAGGGGCCTCTGTGATCCACGCCTTCTGGGGGGGTGCTGTCCCACTCCGCAGTGAGGCAGGAGGCTGTGTCCATGTCCTGAACTCCTGCTGACCAGCTGATGGGTGTCAGCTGGGCTGGTCAGGAGCTGTCCTACACCAGGCTGGCCAAGGTCCCTGAAGGGAATCCAACGGCTCCATTGGGGAAGCAGCTGGATGCAGGACAGAGTTGCCAGGAGAGGGAGAGGCCTGTACAGGGCCAGGGAACATGGAGGAAGAAGAGGCCGGCTGGGCTGGAGTCTAGGATCACAGACAGGTAACGACTAAAGGAGGGGTGGCTGAAGTCACGCTCATTATTCACATACACAGGTGCTGCTAGATGTCACTTACACAATCTAAACGCATACTAAACATTTCGCTGACACCCTCATTACTCTAACAGCTCATTGCAGAGCTATTTAAACCGTTACTTTTACTTTGGATGTTACTGAGGTAAAGCCAGTCAAGTCATCGCACACTCACTCTTAGCTTCCGGCTCTGCTTCCGGACTAGCTTCCCATGCTGGATAAAGTGCACCGGACACTGGTTCATGGCATTGTCAGCCTTATGGCGAAGCCAGTCTTCATAGCCCTGAAACACAGGAAGGGAAGAAAACTGAGTTAAGCACAGAAAGTCAGCCTGGGTGTCTTGGATTCCACCAGGTCCTCTTGACATGCATTTTTGAAGTAATAAATAAATTTGATAAAAATCTCTGTAACTTTGTAACTATCCTTTTATATATATGCATAACACAGTCTCAAGACAAATTCCTAAAAAGGAAATATCTGAGTCAAAAGATGAGCAAGACGTTTAGGCTTTTTTTGTGACATGCCAAGTCCCATGGTGACTCTGCTGGCCCCAGACACAGGTAGTGTCTGCCAACCACACTCGCCCCCACTAGATCTGCAGAGTTTTAAAAACCAACCTAACAGGTATGAAACAGGACACCTAGCAAACCTGTATTTCCAGATTACTATCAAGTGAGAAGTAAGACTCAAGTTAACACTAAGTAAATCTTAAATGCTGTTTAGAAATCTCATATTAAAAAAACAAATCCAGACCTTCACTAGACTCCCAGGAGGAAAACGCAGGCTTCCTAAATACACACACACACACACACACACACACACACACACACGACGCCAGGTATTAGCGTTGACAATTAGGGAACCCTCACAGATTGTGAGGGGCAAAATGGTGCAGCAGTCACTCCAGGAGACACATGGCCAATTCCTCAGAATTCTACCCGTCAGTATGGACCCTCCCCCCACCAAAGTCCCATGTCCACCCATAAATACATAATATAAGCAATCATTATTCTTCAACTAAAAATAAGTGGGAACAGAAAGAAAAATACGTGTTCACACGAAACGCATACACAGATGTTCCGAGCAGTGTTCCTCGTAATAGCCGAAAAGTAGAAGCATCCCAAATGTCCATCAACAAATAAACGAATGTGGCCTAAGCACACACTGGACAACTACTCGTCCACAACATGGCTATACCATGATAGACCTTGAGAACATTGTGCTACGTGAAAAAGACCAGCCATAAAGGGCCACGTGTTCATGACTCTTCATACGAAATGCCTTGACCAGGCAGATCCGGAGGGTCAGGCAGTAGAATCCTCTCAAATTGGGAGCGACTGCAATGAGTTCGGGTTTCCTTATGGGATGGTAAGAGTTTTCTGGAGCTGGACAGTGGTGAGGTCACACAAGGAAACTGGGTAGTGGGAAGCCTGAGACACAGTCCCCTCACCTGAGGGCCAGCACACGTGCCTAGACCTCTCAGGAGCGTGCTCTGGGGAGAGGCCGCTCTGGGCCCCGGACGATGAACAGCACCTCTGAATCTGGGGCTGCCTCTGGGTGGCACAGGAGACCTGTCTTCTTCTCAAACTCAAAGGCACCAAACTAGCCCAGCTCTGACTCGGACTCAATCTGAAGTAGGTGACCTTTTCCATGAAGAGCTGAAGCAATCAGACTGCCTTGCTTTGAAAGGCAACGCTGTGTGCGAGCTTCTTACCTGTTTGATGGCTGTGACGGTGATGACGAAGAAGAGTGGGAGTCCGCTTGTCACTGGACTCGTGGGTGTGTCGATGATCAGCTGCAGGGAAAAAGAGAGCCGTACGGTCATCAATCAATCGTGACACTGCTGAGTGCCACTGGACCATGGCCACCTCGTGCCATTTTTACTTATTCGAAGCACTCTGCTGGTTCCTCTCTGTCCTGACACCAGAGGAACGATGGACAGGAGTCACAGCAGCCTGTCCTACCGACTAACGCCATGGAAGTCCCTTAAATAAGGGGCGAGATGAAGGAAGCCAGGTTCGCTATGTGACAAAGACACAGTCTGATGCTGGTGTATGCATTTGTTTTAATTTATTACACTGCTTCTGGTGTCACATTTCAATCACACTGTTGGGAGGAATTTAATGCTGACAGCTGACCATACTTCATCGTGACTTAGAAAACTGCATTGCTGCTTTTAATACATATCTGACGTGTTTCTCCCTAATCCACACCCTTGCTGTGATCTTTCTTTTAATCTCCTGGGTGTGGAGCAATGTGTGGCGAGGGTGGTGAGCCTACCCCACTTCCCCTCGGTTGTGGGAGAACAGCTTGAATTATCTCATGTGTGTTTTAGCCAAGGTCAGTCTCAGAGAATCAAAGGAATGAACTGTAAGTGAGGGGTACCAACTCCTTGCTTTTTATTAGCAAGTCACAAGTCAACGTGAGAAGAAGGCATCTCTTATGCGTTTACATTTGATGGGACAGAAAACCAGGACTGTCCTTACCTGTACCACAAAGATGATGAGAAAATAAAAGTTGGCTATTCTTCTGAATTGTTCAAATAAGTTCTTGGGTATGAAGTTCCAAAATGTGTACTGTATAAAAGAAAAGCAAGTCAGGCATGCTGAATGTTGACCAGAGTCTACTTTTATGTAGGGATCATGTACTACCTGACGAGCCACGCTGGATTTCAGAGCACACGAGGTTTAGTCTTACACACAAACTTGTCATTCAAACATTAGGGTGATGTTTATCAATCTGTTGACCACAAAACAAATAGCTGAACAGAATGTGTGCTCCAAAACTAGCATGCAAAAATTACCCAATCCCAGCGGATTTAAGATAAAATTCAAAGTCGCTCAGCAGGAGTTTACTGTGCAGATGCCCCACCTCAAGTACAAGCCCAAGGAGGAACTCAGGCACACGAGCCCAGCGTCCCACTTCCATGGGCTCCTCACAATCACTTCTTGTACAGTATGACAGGGTCCACAACACGTGAGGTAGGGCCTGAACTGGCCTGGAGGCAGTGTCCACACAGCAGGACATGGTACCTGGCATCGTCGCTGTAGGCAAGGGCCCTTTCTCTTTGTTTGGGAGGCAAGGGAGGACAGTTCTGGCCCTCATATTGTCTCCAAACTTATCACTCTACTTCTGTGTTGTGAACAACAAGGTCCCAGGTGTCAACAGTAGTAAGCACTGAGTTTGGAAACTGTTTTTATATTTCTGATGACTTGTTTGCCTTTGATGAAGCCAGTACACTGAAAATGGAGAACATCCCTGCACCACAACCTTCACCATGTATGGTGTGCAACAGCGGGCTTCATTCTCCCACTCATAGGGCTGGCCACCACTGGCCTCTACACATCGGCCATCAAACTCTCACACCCACAATCCTCTAGTGCCAGGATCACAAGACCGTCCTCACAATTCACTATGATAACCCAAGGCTAGCATGGCCCTAAACCACACAACATATTCTGAGTCTGGCTTTCACATGTACTTCAGAGGAAATCCATGTGTCTTTTGTTTCTGGTTTTGTTTTGTTTTTTTGAGGCAGGGTCTCACTAATGCAGCCCAGGTTGGCCTAGAACTTGCAATCCTCCTACCTTAGTCTCCCAAGTGCTGGGATTATAGATGCCTACCTCATGTAGAGGTTCACTGATTTAAGTTTGCAATTCCTTAAGAGTATGCACACAATCTGCAAGTTCTATTCCAGTCCATATTCACAAAGTGATTTTACCTTTTATAACGATGTTCATTCACCTCATCCTATGACAACTGTGACAACCTATGACAATCATATTTTCAGTTCCCTTTTCAGGTGGCCCAATAGATGGGGTCAGAGGTCTTCGAAAAGGGTCTGCACAGTTAAATCAACTTAGGTCTTCCTAACCCATCCCCACCATACCCAGCCTAACACCTTATCTCCCCATATTGCTTGATACTGGTTCTTTATTAGGTCAGAGTTTTGCAAATATTTTCTGCCATTCAGGAGCCATCTTTCAATTTTCTTAGCAGGGTCCTGGCAGAGAGGGGCTTTAATTTTACCAAAGTTAACATACTGATTTTCCTTCATGGATAAGTGTTTTTAGTGTTGTATCCAAAAAGGTACAATCAAAACCAAATCACCTAGCTCTTCTCCTTGGGTTATCTTTCAGGACTTTCATTGTTGTATGCTCTACCTTTAAGTCTACGACCCATTGTGAGTTAATCTTTGTGAAAGGAGTCTAGATCCATTTTTTTGCACACTCAGTTTTTCTAGCACCATTTGTTGAAGAGACTTTGCTTTGTGCACAGAATGCCTTTCATCCTCTAAGATCAGCTAAGCACACCTGAGCAGGTCTATTTCTGTCCTCTGTTCTACTCCATTAATCCACTTGTCTGTCCTTTCAGCAACACCACACCGGCTTCCTTATGTAGGGTGATGGAACGTTTGGGGGTTGGGCAGTATCCAGTCTTCCAAATGTTCTGAAATACTGTGTTGGCTACCCAAGGGTCTTATGCCTTTCCACATAAATCTAGAAATACTTTGTTGAGTTGGCCAAGTGACTTGCTGGGACTTGGCTTAGTAGACTGAGTTGGCAAAAAAGGACATCTTGAAAACACCAAGTCTTCTGATCCACAAACATGGGACAGCTCCCCATCACCTTAGGCCCTCTTCAATTTCTCTTATCAGAGTCTTACATTTTTCCTCTTCATGGCTGAGTTTTGGTATTCTTGTCTTGAATATGCCAGCTATGCCTGGAAGAACTGTGATGACCTTAGAGTCCTGGCTAAAGCGAGTACTCAAAAATGATGGGAGACTGAAATCCTAGATCTTGACAAATTCTGTACATGTCGTCAGTCTCCTTCAATTTTAATGGAAGACATATTTTCTTTAAATGGACCAAAAAGAAAAAGTCAGTTGCTTTCATTAACTTTTGAAAGATGTTAGAAACATAAAAGATTTTATGTAATCACAGTATCTATCTCTCACCCTCAGGTTGCTGTGACTAACTTAGGGTAATCTTTTTAATTCTTCCTAGAGGTACCAATCCCAAAGTGGAATCACAGTACACCTTTGGTGTCCATGGGATATAGTTCCAAGGAGTCCACTGTTGAAGCAAAACCATGAGCGCTCAGGATGCAGAGTCCAGTGTTGTACTGTGAATATTTAATTCATTTTTCACAGAATACTACACAGCTTCTGCCACAGACATGCAGCCTTCCAGTAAACCTAAAATTTTCACTTTATCACTTCAATTAAGCACACTCATCTTCATCTTGCTTATTGGGCACTGACTGCTTCTTAGCAGAGAAACAATCAGATCACACATGATTTAAACACAGCTGATAACACGGGACCGACTGAGGGTGCCTTCACATCACCTGAGCTGTGTGATGTACTTTTGATTCACCGTTATTTCTGACTGTGTTTGGTCAAAACCATGTGTAATAAATCCACACATAGGCAGGCTTACTGTACCTTAGAGCCTACTCCACGAAGCCATCCTTACCTCCCTGCACCCAGGGGAAACACCTCCCCAGATATCTAGAATACATTACTCAATGACCAAGTCACATGAATTAAGAAAAAAAGTTCCTACTTAAAATTCCTCTTTTTGTCCTCTGAAATACCTCCAGGTGTCAATCAACTGTTATCTAAAATGGGCATTTGCTTATCTGGGAACTGCTGGCTGCTGTTTTGAGAAGTTTTGAGACCTTGTATGAGATAAATCATGTTTTATAATCCTTCTAAGAGTGCAGACCAAGCTTTCTTCAGGTGCCAAAGTCAAACAAAAACACGGAGATGTAACTGCCACAAAGGAAGGTTTATCGGAGAATAAAGAGGAGTGCAATCTGGGGTCACATGCGGAGGCTGGGAGGGGTCTGGTGTGTCTGCAGAAAAGGCTGGGTTTTATCAGGACAGAGAACACTTGCAGGTCACCATGAAGGAAGTTCACTGGCACTGGTGAGGTCTGACGAGCTGTGGCCGGTACTATGTACAACTAGTGTTGAGATCACAGTTGGTAGCTCTGCTACCCACTGCTAAGTAAAAAATCATTTTCAAGGCAGAGCCCCCATCTGGTCAGTCGGCTCTGTGAGATGGTTCCAGGAGGCGGCAAATGTGTGCTGAGCCTTCTCCCCTGCAGCCCCTCGGCTGCACTGCAAAGAGGTCCTGAGTGTGGACAGTGGATTTCCACACCTGGAAGGCTACATCATCACTTGGCCTCTTGCTATCTGAGTACTACCGTTCCAGGACCCGAGACGCCCAGAGTCCCAAATTCTACCACCTACCAGGAAACCAGGCCTGCTGTGGAATTACGTACCACTCAACTGGTCATGTTCTGAGCAGACACTGAAGGACCCACTGCAGCTAAGAGCCATTTGCTCTGCAATTCCATGGCTCACGGAGTAAAGCACTGTGCAAGTTATTACTGCTAGTTAGTAATGTGGTAAAAAAAGATGTTTATTAATTCCTGGTGACATAGATGAGAAAAGTGAAAACCCAGTGAAATAATTTAAATTTCTATGAATGCACTCAATGCAACACATGGGTGAAGCAAAACAAAACAAACATTCTGCTACGTATGCAGTGAAGAGCTGGCAGACGGACCAGGAGGGTTGACCATACATTTTTCACCTTTTTTTTTTTTTTAAGATATATAAACTATTTATTAACAGAAAGGCCCAGACTCATTTCTTCTTGGACACACCCACAGCATGACCCCAGGAGTCAGTGGTCTTGGTGTGCCGGCCTTTGACGTGAAGGTCCCAGAAGTGGTACCAGGCCTTTATGGGTTCTAATCTTCCATTGCCCCAGGTCTTCATAGAATTTGGTGTCCAGGCCATTGACCAGAACCTGGCTGTGTTTTCCATCCTTTATGCCCTTCTGTCTGTTCAAGAACAAGTCTGAGGTCTTGCACGGCGCGGACTGTGCGTCACAGTGCTCACACGTTCTTGGTGAGTGGGCAGGTCAGTGTCTGCTTTCCTCAACATCACGAACATCTCTTCATCCACACCCTTAATGCATGGTGGCAAGTCCATTTTCCAGGGCCCATCGATGGTGGTATTGAGGACTCACGGAATGTGCTGGAACTTCTAGGGGTCACTAGAGACATGACGGTGGCAACAATGGCGGTATTCGGGCCTCCAGTGCAAGACACATCTTTCATCTTTGTTGATCTCCCGCAGCCTAAATATTTGCCTGGTCACGTGGGCCACCATACAATGTCCTACCTGCCCTGCACTCAGGTATCAAGTCCTACTTCTACTCTGATGCCATCAGGGAGAGTATTCAATCCTGGAAGACTCTGGGTATCAAAGCCACAGGTGAGGAATACAGCGGTTGTTTGTTTTATTGGAAAGGAAGCTGGGTCACGTAGGAAACCACAGAATCTACAACTACAGAGATGTTTCATTCCGATGAGGCACTGGAATCACAAGACAACTAATTAATAAGCCCCGTGCATCTTCACTCACGAAGACTCACATCCAGGTCGACAAGGCTCTCCGTATTTCCACCCTGAGCTGGGAACTCTGCGCTGCCACCTGAGCTCCAAGTCTGCGTGGGGTGGCCTACTTCTCTGGGTAAGCCTATCTCTGGTTTTGGGTTACGGTCCGCAGTGAGGCTCGGGGAAGTCCCACCTCTCTACCTGTGGTCACATGGCAGTGAGACACACAAGAACTGGACATTGTTGTGCTCTCCCAGCAGCCAGGACAGAGTACAAAGCACTTGGAAACTGTCCTGAAGCCTCAGCCATCATTCACCTGAAATGGATCCAGCTCCCCAGGTGTGCATGTGACTGTCCTAAGAAGACACGAGACAGGACACTGGCCCACCTGGAGGGTGATCTACTCAAGTGGAGTCCAAGGCGTCAACTGTGATCGAGAACCTGATTTAAAGGCAGGGGTCATGACACAGTTCTGGATTGCTGGTGCTGGTGGCTGAGGGTGCATCGTGAGGGCCACAGAGGAGGGAGCACTGGAATATGCAGAGGGAACTCTGAGCTCAGGAACAGTGACACTGAGGGCTCCCCTTCTGTGGCCTTCCATACATTGTTGCCTCAGTTTCCTCACTTGGGAATAGTAAGTAGTTGTGGTCTCATGATAGGATGGTGGAAGTCATTTATATCATTCAATAAAACACTGTCCACATTCACTAACCAACCGAGGTAATTCCCCCCTTCCCAATAACCCAAAGTAATTCAGTTTTCTAGAAGGCATGGAGTGACAGAATAGACTGAGCCAGTATTTAATTCCACAGCCTTGTGAGGGCAAAGCGGAGAGACCACATATATTTGGTGCCCCAAAGTACAATTTTTCACAGGGGAGCAAGCGGGAAGCCATCCCTCTCCTGAGCTTAGGGTCTCCCCAAAGGGGTGCTGGGGTCTAGGGGAGATCTGCACGTGGCAGGAGACAAGGTGGGCACCATACAGGTCATTTATTGTTCTATGAGACACTGTCTCCCCTCAAAAGGAAACAACTCTCGCCAATCGCTGACCGCCAGGAACAGCACTTCTACCACACAGTGAGAGCTTGGCGTGGTTGGACCAGCGTTTTCAGCGAGCCCCAGCACCTCATAAGGCAGGACCTCCCAACCATCTGCTTAGTGAAAGTAAACCTGCTGAGCACAGGCTCCGTGGCAGTTGAGAATTCCAACTATTAAGTCTTTTATTTTTGTAAAGTGGAAGCAAAAATTTCCTTCCATGAAAACAGATACATATCCTCCAAAATCTGTTGTCAATTTATGTTTTACAAATTAAATATTACTCTTCACAGACGTAAGCTGTTGTTTAAGCAAAAACATTTATAAATCCTCAATCACACACTGCGCAATTCTGCTCCAACTTGTATAAGCCCACACCACTGCCAACCCAGTGCTAGCTGAGTTCCAAGCTCCCTCAACACCCTGGTCTTCTCGAGGGCCAGGCTGCATACCGTACCTGTCCCCCAACACCTCACACCACTGTCTACTTGGCACCAAGGTTAAGTGCTGACCCCACCTCTGAGGACAGAGTTCTCAGTGTTCACTCCTGCCGAGAACCTACTTGAGGCTGAAATGAAAGTTATTTCAAGTGCTCTGGCCCAGGCCAGGCCTGGCCTCTTGGTTGTTCTCCACAGTGTACTGGACTCAATTCTGTTGGCTCCTGCTGAGAGCTTCCTGGTATGAAGGAAATCCTTCATATGAGGGAAATCTTGTCTAAATGGCCCCTGGGACCTGCAGTGTGGACACTGGCTGGGGCTCTTATAGGAAGCAAAGCACCCTCAGCTTCCGTACTCCCTCACTCCCCCACACACATGCACTCACTCTCACACATGCTCAGTCGGGAACTCTGTGTGGCACAGGCTTCTCCTGCAGCCTGCACAGAACTTTTTTAACACGTATTACACAGACCTTGCAGACGGGTCTACACACAGGACACCAGGTACAAAATAAGAAGACCTAGTACCTGGGACTCACATGTGACCTCAGTGATTTACCTCATGGGTCTAGACACAGGACACCCACATGTGTTGTAAGCAGGTCTCCCCCACGGGTCTGCACACCAGGACACCTGGCTGTGAACTGCTCAGTCACACTGCACCTCCACACACTCACACATGCATTCTCAGACATGTAGGTGTGTGCACCTGAAGGGAGGTGTTCCCTGTCACCTGGGAAGCTGCCCTTCAGCCTCTCACTTGAAGCCAGCACTAAATTCTGACCCTTGCTCTCCAGTCCCATTTCTGGATTTCTCTTTATGTGTGGAACACATCTGCATTTCCATACCCACTCTGCCTGGAAAGAACCCGGAGGTGTGGCCTCTGAGTCACTCTTCCTCCTCAGTGTGTGGCCCACTTGACTGACAGCTCCTCTCTGTTCAGTGTCTCTCTCTGGGAGCGCTGGCATGCCTGCCCCTTCCCTGGGGCAGTTGCTTTTGCTTCTCTTTTACTCGAGCCCAGGGTGTTCGATGATGAGCACATGGCCAGACAGAGCATGTGTGAGCAGCAGCAGGCTCTGACCCTTTGCTGTGGTGGGACCCAAAGAGAAGCAAAGATGGCACACCATGCACCTCAGCAGGTCTGAGGTGAGTGGGGCAGGCAGAGGCACATTGGAGGTGAAGGCTCTCGGCCCAGCCCTGGCCTAAGTCCTCCTGACAGCAGAGTGGCCATGATGGCACTGTGGCTACTCAGAAAAGGCTACACCTTGTGGCAGTGTCCCTCAAGCAAGCAGGACCAGACAGAGCTGGGGACAAAGCTACCTTGGAGGAGACGATTCTGTTGTCGGGGTATCTCTGTGGAATGTAGGCCTCCGTGCCTGGAGGGGGCTCCTTGTGTCCCACATAGATGGTCCGACTGTCCACCCAGTTCTCCTCTCCTGCACACTGTGGAGAGAGAAGGAGCATCAGCACCAGCCTCAGACCTGTTGCCCAAGTTCCCCCAGAACCCATCATCAGAACAGAGCTCCACCCTGTGGACACGAAGCCCATGGAGCACCCAACTTGCTGGGTCCTACTAGTGAGGGACCTCAGCTCCCTAGCCAACTTCCCAAGTAGACACCAGGAGTGGCTGTCTGTTCCCAGGGTGACACCCAGGAACCTATAAAAGTGATGCACAAAGCAAGGGGTTGGTGCATTTCAAATAGCAGCAGCAGCAAAGCCTTAAGGCTGCTGGAGGAGAAAAGACAAAGATCACAAGAAAAGCCTCCAGTGATGTAAGAAAGAAAACTTGATTCAAATGGGAACTGCTCCGCCCCACAGGCGCTGTCACTCAGGAAGGCCACGGATCCTCCCACTCTGCATGACGTACAGAGTGTGGCACTCAGGAAGCAGGAAGGAAATCCCAAGGACAAGAAAGGCCTTCCCACCCTCATGACCAGACCATACGCTGGGTGCACTGAAGTGACAAACAGACATCACGTCCCATCAGTCAGGGCCTTGCCCAGGGCCCCAGGCCTGCACCCCAATTCTTCTACAGGCACAAGAGATTGTAGAGCAGCTGCAGGCAAGATGTACTTCCAGATGTGCAGCCTTGTCACCCTGAGGGTGCAGGTGCTTTACTCAAGAGCTGTCCAGAGGCCAATCAAGGCAGTGGTCACAAACCACATGGCAAGGGCACAACCCAACAGACCTAGAGCAACTGGGTCAGTCTTTTCACCGGGCAGGCCGCCTCTGCAGCACAGAAGGCCTCTCTCAGGCCAAAGCTAGCAAGAGAGACAGCACAATTACATCTCTGTGCACAGCTCCATGGCTGTGTGTCCCCTCCTGGCTCTTTTGGTCCAGTTTATACCATCAGCCCTCCTGTTCATTTGTGTGCTTTCTGGGGACAAAAAAGCCTTTCCTGCAGGTCCCCACACTGTGCACATGTCCACCTGAACTTCTCTTGATAGGGCCCAGCTTTGCAAAGTGGTCTGTGTAACTAAAGGATAAAGACCAGATTGACCCCAGTGAACTGCAGGCAGTCAGCAGGACACTCACAGCAAAGACAGGACCTTCACTTCCAGGACAGCCGGTACTTCCCAGGCCCTGGGACAGTCATGGATATGGCTGCTCTCTGGCCAGTGACTGGGCTCCATACCAGAAGGAGCCAAGAGCACTGTTCCTTGGTAGGAACTCGGGCGGAGGCTTCTGGGAGGGAGCTGTGGGCTTGACAGTACCTGCTGCCCAAACATTCCTCAGTGAGGGGGCTGCTCAACGGCACTGCCTGGCCAGGCCAAAGGCCCACAGCCCGCTCCTCCCCCCACCCCAGCCAGGATGGCCTTCTCTGCTTGGGACATGGCACAGGAGGACGCACTTCGTGGTGAGGCTGACAAGTGCAAGGGCTCGTGACCTGAAACCCTCTTAGCAGCTTCACAAACAAACCTACAAAAAGCCAGGAAGCTGTGCTCCCTTCCTATCATCCTGTTCAGACCCTCACTGACAAACCATGCTGTAAATAACCAGGAATAGAAGCGCACAAGCCTGTCTCTTAACACACAAGGCCTCCTAGAGACCTGTCGTCTAAGCTTCAAAGGCAGCGGCTGGACTGCAGGGGCCCGCCATGACCCAGGCCACTGTGACTCTGAAACCTGACATCTCCCCTTGAGTCTCACAAGGTCCTACTCAGGGGAAGCTGGCATCGCTGGCTGCTCCCAGCCAGAGATGGTTTATTAAGACTGCTTCCGGTCAACACTGTCAAGGAGATGCTCACTGTTAAATAAATGCATTAAAACAACTCAAATATAACGACAGTTGATGCTGCCTCAAGTAACACACAGAGGAATCCCCATTTCTGTATGACAGGATCAGAAAATAAACTGCCCACCACGGTGCAGAACTTGCTTCAGCCTCAAGACAAAACTCACTGGAGAACAAGTCCCATGCAGTACATGCCTGCACACCAAGTGAAAGCTGAGCCCTGCACAAGAGAGCCATCACTTAGTGGGCCAAGGACAGGGAGAGAAGTAGCCACCAAAGGACACCTTCTGGCTCCTTGCTGCACTCAGGTGACCACCCAAAGGACAGAGTAAGTGATGGACACTTGAGAAGTTACCTTGCTACCAGAACAGAGCCAGAGGTGAGGACAGAAGGACAGCAGATGAGGCTGTGAGGTCATTTAGGTGGTCCCACACAGGGCATGGGGAGTAGACTCTGGGCAAATTCGGGTAAAGATTTTATACCACGGCATGTGCCATGTACTGCCTCCCCCCACATGGTCAGGTTCTGGAAGGCTAAATGCAAATGCTGGGAAGGTTCAGGAACTCAGCAGAAAGGGCCCCTGGAAAACCCCAGGCACCACCATGTCTGGAGTCATGTCTACATGATTGTAAGGATAGGATCGTTATCTACAAGGTCACGTGGCCTCATTTCTTAACTTAGCTGGGATGGTACCCAGTGTCAGCCAAGCATCTACAATCACCATGGAACACGGACAAAATGGAAGTCTTGGACAAAATGGAAGGCTCAAGAATGGAGACAGTAATGTTGACTTCTGGGGAGGGGGCTGCTTGTACAGGACACCACAGCCTCACACAATTCACACCAACTGAGCCCTGGACACAGCTGGACTGTCATCAGCAACACTGTGGAGAATGTGAGTCCAAGACAAGAACATGAATCCAAAACGCCTGAGCTGACCACAGAGGGACACGGAAGCGAGTGCCCGGATTCTCATGGATGCAGCATTCACCGTGGCCAAAAGGTAGAAGCTTCTTGCATGTCCACCACCCCACAAAAGGACAGGCAGAAGAAGTATGGCCACAAAGTGGTGCACTGATCAGTCACAGAGTGAACGAGGGGGCTGGTCCAGATCACCACGGGGAGAAGTCCTGGACATATCCAGCAAGTCGAAGAACAATGATCGCATTCCACAGGGGGTCCAGGATCGGCACACTGATGAACAGTGGCTGCCACGCGTTGGGTTGCCTCTGGTTTGGAGGGTAGCACTGCCACAGCCCTGTGGGTATACTCCAACCAAAACAAGAACTGCAGATTTCAAAGGATGAATTTTATGGTATGTAAATTATACCTTAAGAAAAATAATGTACTTTTTGGTTTTTGCTAAAGGGAAAGTCATATGTAATCTGCATGCAAATAATTATTTGTCCTTGTGGGAACAAAACAGGTAGCGTTTACATCAAAGACCAGTTAACTTGTCTGCATGAATGCCGTAACTTGCTATCACTTTCTCCTTGCTTTTGGCTCTCTTGCAAATGACTTTTCTGCTTCATCCCCTTAGAGGGAACAGTCATTTGAAGCTGTCTAAATTACATCCCCTTCTCAGGCTTCCAAGGAAATTCTAGAAACCTAGGAATGAAGCTCTTCCAGGAAGGAAAAAAAACCTGAGAGTTGTAAACAGGCAGCAGCTCAGACAAAAGGCCCTGTGTCCAGAGTAAATAGTCTTTTTTTTTATCAGTTTGTGAGCATGTGATAAATTACCACAGTTAGAAATGAGGCCACGACAGTAACCAAATCAGGTTTCCTTGTAACGCTGCAAAGACGACTCAGCTTTGATGTGTTCCTTTTACCATGCCCTACGGTGCAGCACAAAACGGAAGGCTGGGGTTTGCAGGGGCTTCTCAACTATTAACTGGACCATCTCGCCCCGTGGATCGCTGGTATAGAGGACCTGTGTCCTACCACACTACATAACACCAACGAGAGGCACCACGAGGCTGATGTGAGGCCCGCCACAGCCTCCAGGGGCTTCCCAACACTGCTCAGCTGCTCACCTGCCCAAGAAAAGAACATGTTTGCAGAAGGTTTGGGGGGAATGAGCCCAATATCAGTCCTGCCCTTTCCTAAGATTCACATAAGACTGCAGAAGATGGAAGGAAACTCCCGCGGACTGGGGGACAGGAAGGTGCACCCCAGAATCTGTCTGGCCACCACCTTCCTCCAGCCAGCATCCGAGCTCAGGAAGCATCCAGCACTGCAGCTGAGGGAAAAGGGCTAGGCAGGGCGAGAAGGGTGGGGCAGGAGGAGTGGGCAGGGCAGGAGCAGGAGGGGCCATCCTGAAAGGCGCCAGCTTCCCCTAACCGTACATTCTCAGGAAATGAGTATCCACAGGATGTCCTGGGAGCCACTTTCCTATCACTCCCCAGAGAGAGGGAAGGAGGGATCTTCGTGGCTCCCTCCCTTGATTCTTTTCCTTCTAGGACATTTTTGACAATGGGATGATCAGATGTTGCTGGAAAACCCCAGTTTTCCTTCCCACATTTGGCAGGGCAACTCTGACAGGAGCACAGCGCTGGGCTTGGTGGCTGGGGAAGGGCTCTGAGCTGAGCTATGCAGCTCTCACCCAGGAAGAAGAAACTGCAAGGCAGTGGGGGCCATGACACTTGGGCTGGGAGATCTGAGGCAGAGGCTGGCTGTGTGCTGGAGCCTCATACAGTTAAATATTAATTCCTGCTCTTCCTAACCTCTGAGCCCGGGAGCCTGAGCTGCTCCTCTGAGTCATGTGACTGATTTTCTCTTTAAATGGAGCTTGAAATCACTTCCCTGACAGAGTAACGCACACCACGCAGACCACCGGGAAGCCGGGGCCGTAACTTGAAAAAGCCACACGCAACTGATGAGCAAGAAGGCTCACAGAATTCAGCCTCAACCAGGGTAAACATTCAGTGACAGAACCCAGTCTGGCTGGTCACGTGACCTTACCCACGATGACTAATTCATGAAGTACTAAGAGGAGATCAATAATTCTGAGAGGACAGTGAAGTGGCAGCACCAAGGAATGAACTTCAACAGACAAGGCCAAAATCAATGAGCTCATGAACAGCACCAAGGACCCCGGCTCTGTCCTGCGCCTTTACTTCCTGTGCAGCGTTGAGGTGACGGGATAGCGGGAGGCGTGCTCTGACGCAGACCGATGGATCAGGTGAAGACCCCAAGGCAAGCAGAGTCCATGGGGTCGGCAGCACAGCAGCACAGCCTCCGTGAGGGGCTGCCTGGGAAGCCAGTGGTTCCAGAAGCTCGGCAGCCTGTGGTGGGCGTGGGAAGAGCATCTGGCTTCCTGAGCTGGTTCCAAGGTGGTAGTGGGGACCCAAAATAGGTGGTCATTTGGTCAGTCCTGACTGTCCCCTGCCCCGGGCAGCCAAGGCTTTGGCAGGAGCCATGATCTCTTGAGGTCTGGCCACCAACCCTGATCACTT